CCGGAGGCATCGTACTCCCCTTCATGATTCGGTTGCTCGTTGCTTTCGGGTTTGGTGGTGGTAGTGCCGCCTGGTGGTTCCAAGAGTGGACTTGCTCGCTTCTCCTCCTCCTCCTGTGACGAAGAAGATTGGTTCTCGAGGTCCCTGCCTATATCGTCGTGCGGCCTGCTTGGCGCTGTTGAGGACTGTGCTTTTCCAATGTCTCTGTCGATTTGCGCCTGGGCTTCAATGCCCGCGCGCCGGCGTTGTAGAAAAGATTGCATCCTATTCCCCAATAGGTTTCTCCTCAGGTGTACCTCCTAGAGCGCCGAGGGAACAAACATACTTCCTGGATCTCAGATTCAGCTGATATGGGTGTGATGTGTCTTTAGAGTTGGGACTGTAACAGACGGCAGCGGAAGGGACACCGAGTAAGTTGCAGCATTGAGTCATTGAGGATTAGCAAGACTGATACGTGACTTCATACCGGGCGCGACAGGGAAGTTGCCTTTCTCTTTCCTTTCCACTTTGCATCCTACTAGCTCCCGGTTTATTCCCACAAGGCTAACGATAGAAAGCTCCATCAATGACGGTGAGGCAACCTTTGCCAGCGATAACGCTGAGCTCTTTTGGTGCCGAGCTAAGAAGAAAATTCCAGCACTCGGAGATCTCGGTTTTACGCAGAGATTGGGTCTCATACGTGCCTATCTGCGCGTAGGTAGGGCGTTCAAACTTCATGGTTCGTAAGCTGCAGGTCGTAAATCGACCCGAAAGTCCACTCTTTTTTTAACGCGAGGACGCGAGCCGCGAATAATCGCCTCTGCATCGACGCTGATTTGCCATGTGCCCAAACGCAAGTGTACTGTCCTGTTCCCACTCGTCCGGAAAAGGCAAGTATACCAGTTCGAAGCAAGACACACATCCATGATCTCAAGGTCACAATCGGCTCCGAGCAGTATTTGTTCCCCACCCGCTCCCGTCTTCTCCAATTGCGTTTACTGATTCGGATACAATGGCACCTTCCAACCTCAATCTTCTGGGCCGTTGTGCTCTCGCCTCGCCACTGTAGTGGACGAGAGACGCATACAGAGATCGCAAACTATGGGGAAGCGAGAGCGATGAAAGCGGGCTTCTGTCCGGCTCCTCGGGCGAGCTGCTGAGAGATGTGAATGAGATTCGCCCGTCCGGGTCGATCTCGGCCTCGTTTGGGCTGACAAAAAGCGGCCCGGAGGCGGGCCCGGATGGCACTTCCGCAAATAGTGGGGGCTTCGGGCCGAGATGTCTATGTCGTAATGTGCAGCACATCACAACGCATTTTCTCATATACGCGCTTACTCAAACAATGACTTATTTTCTCATTTGAACCCGTAACGAGTTAGTTTCTACTTTCTTCTTCCTTCTTCTACAGCGTCGCGGCTCTCTTCTTCAGGGTCTCTGCAATGATAGGCCTAGCTCTGAGCCTATCCATCCACGCGGCCGTGTTCGGGAACTCTTTTGTAAAATCGATCTGATCCGCAAAAGCACCAGGAACCTTCATGTTATACCACGGGTAGAACGCAACATTGAACCAGGGGATAAAGGCAATGTCCGCGTAGGAGCACTTGTCGCCCACCAGGAACTCGCGTCCCTCCAGAGCCCGGTCCAGGACCCAGGAAACCCTCCGAATCTCCTTGATGTACCGGTCCTTGGCGCTCTGCACGTCTTCGGAGTGGTACCGGTGGAACCAGATGGCCTGACCAAAGTACGGTCCCTGGCCGGACATTTGAAAGTGCAGCCATTGCTTGGCGTGGAAGTAGTCGGCCGTGCCCGGCTCGAAGCTGATTGACCTCTTCTCCTTGTCGTACGTCTCGACGAGGTACTCGAGGATGGCGCCCGACTCCCACAGCGTGATGCCCGTGTTGTCGTCCTCGATGGCGGGTACGCGCCCGTTGATGTTGATCGCTTCAAAGGGTGGCTTCTTCATGTCGGGGAAGTCGATATACTTTTCTTCGTAGGGGATCCCGAGCTCCTCGAGGACAAAGTGCACTTTCCATGGGTTCGGGCCGTTCTTGGAGGTCCAGACCCTGATCGGTTGAAGCTTCTCAGATGCCATTTTGGTCTTGTTGGTGCGGCTTTTTGTGGAGATTTGTTGGGATGGTTGTCAATTTGATTAGATCCAACGTTACAATGGATAAAGTCAAATGAACAATGACTGATTCTTACTAAAATTCCCAGTCTCAGTCGTGATGCCCAGTTAGTTTGATCAGTTATCCTTAAATCGATGGCAAGAGGGACTCTGGCAAGCGCTTTTATGAGCAACTGGAAACCCTAAAAGTTGCGTTCAGCTTGCACCTAACTTGGAAGCTGTTTCCGATGCTACGAGTTGTCCCCGCAGTCACTGAAACTTAGCATACTGTCGGACAAAATAGGTCCGGGGGAGAACTAACATTGTTCAGCTATGTTTGATAAGCTAAATGTCATTTCTGCTTACAAAGGAATATTTGGGGTGTGTTTCAAAGATTCATGACAAATCGAAAGTCCGCCGTGGAATAATGACCCATTCTCCCCAAATCGGAATAGATCCTGGGGGGCCATGCAAGACAGAGGTGGAGTGCGTCCGATGGCTAGGTATTCAGACATCGAGCAATTTGTGTTCCAAAGTGTGGAGAAATAACTATGCAGTAAAGCAGCTATCCATCTATCACTTACCAACAACACCCAGCACATACTTGATCCCCTCCCAGTGCTCCTTGGCCGTGGGCAAAATAAACTCGGGCGCCAGAATAAAACCAGACCCTCCGCTCCCACCACTCTTGGGCCGCAACTCGACGCTCCACGAATAGGTCGCATTCAAAGCCCCGTGGTGGAAATCTCTCGCGGAGCCCGTAGAATAGTACAAAATCTCACACGAGGGGCCGACCTCGTAGCTCTCCCCGCTCGTCGCCGCAATCGTAGCGGCGTACCCCGCGCCCACGTCCCGCTGCGCCTGGAGGTTCCGGGGAAGCACGTCGGGCTCGCAGGAGAAGCCCCAGGGCAGGAGGATCAGCTGCGAGTAGCTGTGCCAGTCGATGAAGAGTCTGATGCCGCCCGTGGAGTTGGTAGCTGTGGCGGCTAGCTCCCGCGAGAGGGCCGAGAGGACGACGTTCTCGGTCGTGTCTCCCGGCGCGAGGCCGCGGAACGTCTCGCCGCAGGGGTTGCCGGAGACGCTGCCGTCCTCGAGGGGGAAGTTCCATTGGAAGTTCCAGTTGCGGTTGCCATCGGTGCCTATGCAGGTCGTATTGGAACGCGGCTGGCGGTTCTTGCGCCAGAGGCGGTTTGTGGTCTGGCTGTACACGAAGCCTAGACACGGAGGGGGATTTTGTGAGTGATTTGAACGGGAGCTTGGTAAGGACGGCTTTTGACATACCATCGGGGTTGTGAAAGGGCACAACATAAAAGTCGTAGGCGTCGAAGAAGGCTGTGACGTTTTGGTCTCCAGACTTGTAGCCGTCAATGAGTTGGTAGGTCAAGTACTCGACAGTCTGCCCGCGGGCATTAACAACCTCAGTTGTACAAGCATCTGAAATGGGCTCACATACCATTGTAGTAATCCACTCTCTGGCATGAACGGTGCTATGCCAGAGGACAACAGGCTTCGTCCCAGTGTCCTCGCCTCCCCAGAGCCGCAACCCGAATATGTTGCGGCCCTCATACGAGGCACCAATGTCCAGCCACTCCGAGTTGTCGGGAAACGCAGCGTGGAGGTCCCTCCAGTACTGTACGTGGTCGTCGTACGCGTGGTACGAGTCGAACCAGCTCAGGTCCGGCAGCTCGCCCCTCTTGGACAAGCCGGGCTTCTTCTCAGCCTCGGACTCGGCCCTGATCGCCCGCCCGAGGTCATCGTCTAGAAGCTGCGCGTCGTCCAACAGTCCCAGAGTCTTGAGTGAATCAACCTCGCTGGGCGGGATCGCGACTTCGACGGAGCCCTTGAGGTCGATGGACGGGAATGAGCGTAGCCGGGCGAGTTGGCTTGGTCGCGCGTTGGTTGTTGGTACGCGGTAGACCTGGTAGCCGTCGTAGCTGACCTTTTCGTCTCGGGGCGTCGCTATCCTACCGTTGCCGGTGAGGGCGACGACTGGGGCGATGAACACGAGTACAGCTGTGAGCTTCATGGTGACCTTGTGAATCGAACACAGCCAAGTCGCCGACAATTGCTCGTCGTTTAGAGGTGTATAAATAACGGCGTCTGACACTTTATATCGACATCTCCGGCAGATCTTTGCGCGGTCTCGTTCACCTTCCCCCGCCGTGTGAATCGCACAAAATCTCCATCTTGGCCCTGGCGAACCTAAAGGGAAAAAAGTGAGGGGTCGACGGTTAATAACCATGCAAGCCAAGACCGAGATGCTTGTATGACGCTCTCGAGTCTCGACGTTTCGCAGGCCAGCGTAGCATTCTCGCAGACATTCTGTGAACCGTTTCTTTCGGCGTGCTGAAGAGGGCCTAGCAAACTCAATTACAACGTCGTACGCGGGGATGCGAGGCTACGCCCAGAAGAGGAGGTGCTAGACCTTGTAGTCTTGGCTTGCGAGGATAGCCGAGACTTAAGCTGATAGATCTGGAAGTTACGGGTTGCCCGTTTTCACGAAGTCAGACGATTGGGTGATAGAATGGATGCAGCGTCTCTGGTGCGGGATACTTGGACAGGCGCATTGTTCTTGTGATAAAATGATCAGGGAACCCACTAAACATAGGTAGCGGTTGCGCCATGTCGTACCAACAGCCGTAAGCCCGAGTGATTGGCTACCAGCGGGATTCCCATTCCATCATTTCATGAGTAGCATCTCGAGGCCTAAAGGTTTAGAGGACCATACCGACTGCGTGTGAGATCTCTGGGTAATGTAGGTACCTTACACCGAAGACTCCGGCCCGGTGGGGCGCGACGATGCTGTCGATGAACCGGCCCGGAAGTGGGTCCCGGATCACGGGGCCTTACTACCTTGATCATTCAATTGGGTGACAAAACAGAGTGCCGGTCAACGTACAAGTCCCTCCCTTCTCATAATCATTGTTGCCATCATTCTCCTCTGAAGGCGCTTCACAGTGCATATTCTTTACTAAGGTAAGATATTGAGCGGCAAACTAGTACTTTAGTTGCTACGTTAACTAAGTAAGTAAGCACATCAGCTTGCCTAGTATTGTGTGAATCCCTTGACACCATCATCACATCCCAAAGACTCAGCTTGCCAGAGAACATGCGGTCCGAAACCATTTATCTTATTCCGTTCCCTGCTAAGTTTAGTTGATAAAACTTTGGCTAAAATCCGACACCTGAATCGGTTCCAATTTCGATCAGGAAGCCGTAGCGAAACAACCTTGTTTTTACGCGATCCGAGAGCATTCCTTCCTGGCGATGAACAAGGTGTTCCACTCCCACTTGAGGTCCGGGAGACTGGTATAGGAGTCCTCAATAATGCTGGCATTCCAGCCGAGGTGGGCGATGTCGCGGTGGAACTCCCCTCGGTGTCTTTCTACCAAGATGGAACGCAGATTCGCCATCTGTCCGGTTGCCAGCAAGTCATGTATCTGAGTGTGCAAATGCTCTATCCCATTCCATGGACAGCTCATCAGCTCCAGTATCTCCAAAGAGCTCGGCAAGACATCGCTGAGGGTCAGTGCCAGCATCTGCGGCCCAATCTCATGATCTTCCTCTTCCAGATGAGGTGTATAGTCGTCTTCCCCAAGTAGCAGGTCGAGGGGCAACCGGAGCGTTCTGAGCCGCATCATTTCCCGCAGCGAACCGATACGTTCTTCTTCCAGTTCCTCAATAGTTCGAGGGTAGTCGCAATTATAGTGATTTTCCTCAAGACAGTCCAGCTCGAGCTCTCGAAGGTTGTGGCCATATCGTCTTAGCGCCTCGCCAATTTGATCGTAGAAGGGGAAGTCGATGTTCTCGGTATCGTGCTGGAGGTATGTACCTGCCCATTTAATGCTGACTCTCTCAAGGTCGGGACAGTGACTGAGAAGATCCTTCACGCCTGTTCCATTGCACAGCGAGCGTCCGAGGTGTACTGACTTCAACGACATGCGTTCCGCTCCTCGCCACTTGATATGCCTCAGCCACTCGACATGAAAGCCGTGAAAGATCTGCACTGTCGGCGAGAGGAAGGCTTCGCACAGACGGGCTGGCATACCTTCTTTTAAGCCTTCTTCATCAGTCCCAACACCCTCAGCATAGACCTGTTGTAGACGAGGAAAAGGTCCTGAGCGGTCCACCTCGGCGACAAATTCCATCATCACTGTGTTGGGTGCGAAATGCACGACCTCCACCTCCGGAAGCAGCATAGCCAGAAGCAGCAAATAGATGCCTTCGAGGTCAGCATCGCGACCACTCATGAGCTGCTTACTGTTCAAAGCCAGTCCAATGGCGCGCCTGAAAGGACTATGATCGATAGAGTCTTGCCGCTCTTCTAGTCGCTTCCGAAGCCAGAAGCGAGTGAGGCCTGTCAGTCCACCAACGGGAATGTCGAGCTCCTTGACGTAGCTTCCAAGGTAGGGCCTGTGTTCAATAGTAACCACGAAAGCGCTGAGTCTATCATCACTGAGAAAGATCGACTCGTAGAGAAAGGGCTCGGCCACTTGCTGGAAACCTCTGGACACGCGGCAAAGCTTGGACAAGGTGGCGCAGTTTTGGGCGGGGCGCTCGAGGGTCGACTTGGAGCTGCGTAGGGTTCCGATGACTGCCAGGAGGACTTCGTTAGGCAAATGAGGCGGCATCTTGGTCGTTGATAACTTAAAAGAAAGAGGTGCGCGACGTGGGAGGGCTGATGTGGTTAACTTTTGGCAGCAACAACAAAAGGAAGGGTGTCGAGGTGATGTAGAGTCTAGGTGGTGTAGAGTCGAGGTGATGGAGAGTCGAGGTTAGTTAACTAGGTAGGCACCGCTCCTTCCTCAAGTCAAGTATCAGTTCCGTCCGCCTCTTGTCTTACTTGGATATCTCAACTCACCGACAGGCAGGAGCCCCGTTTTTACCTGGAGCGTCACTTCCTTCCTTGACCGATTGTGGCCGATGGAGAGAAGAACTTCGACAGGTTGATCGCGGGGTAAAAGTCCGGTTCTTGCCAGCCACAGGTGAAAAATACGAATGAATTTGGTGTATTCAGGTTCCAAGAATGGGCCTATAGCCCGAGGTTTCTCTTCTCCCCTTTTGTCCTTCCTCTCTGCAATCCTTCCCGATTGAACCACGTCTTATTCCACGTATATTGACTCCAACAAGCTGTGATGCGTCTCTGCCCATACCTCTAACGCTATGCGTCCTTTGCGATTCCTCCCGAAAAGAGACGCGGCCACCTCTCCTGAAGTACAATCGACATAAGTGAAGTCTGCATCATCTAGCCGTCTGTAGGTTACTCTTGCCTAGCTTGTATTGGCAAAACAACATGGTCTTGGACAATGTGAATTCTCGTACCCTGTCGACGCCCCGACGGTGACTGGATGCTAGATAGCTGTCCTGCATCTTTTTGTGCTTGGCTGGGGAAAGCAACGGGCTCTGCCTGCCCTGGACACATTGAGTTCATATCCTGCCTTGGGCATAGCAGGTGGTGCGATCGAACTTGCCGCCTTCCCTTCAGTTCTCAACGTCGATTGAGATCCGGCTGAGTGATAGCCTGCTGGGGAAGAGCAGATGGGCACTCTGCGTGAGAGCCAAATCGCCCGACCTGGCATCACAGCTAGGATCACGACAATGCCGTAAGGCATGCTTGTAGCAGCCAGTGTTCCGCGGCATGCTCTGTCGGTGGCGAGCTTGTGAGTTCATTTCAATCTTCTCAAAGAAGTTGACATCCGAACGCTCACTTCATGACTCGTCCATTGTGTCGGGATCGGGCTGCTCAGTAGATTCCCCAGAACCTCCCCCAAGCGCGGCAACCACTTGCTCGAGCCCCTCCACCTCGCCCATGGCAAATTTCCTGCCCTCACCTTGCCACTCCCCATCGCGCACATCGCCATCCTTGCCGAGCTCCAGCCCACGCACATGCTCCAGATGCTTCCGCGTGGCCCCCTCGACATACTCCATTCTCTCTCGTCTCCAACTCTTTTGCTTCTCGGGGCCGTCCTCGGTGCTGGACGGGTCCTTGAGGTCGGGCATGATATTACGCAGCGACGTCGATAACGCGCGCAGCGCCTGAAGTTGCGACATGTTGAAGGCGGTCGTGGTCGTTATAGGCGCTTTGAAATCCCCATCTGCCAAGTCGCCCTTCTCCTGCAGGAACTGGAACGGCGCCCTGTCGTCGGACCCCTCGACCTTGACCTGTCCCACCAGCGAAGCCCTGGAACCGGCGGGCTTACCGCCAATGACCCCTCGCAGCTTCGCCAGTAGCGCCGCATTCTTCGCCTGCTCGGCGTGAAGCATCACGTTGAGCCGCTGGCTGGCCTGTAGCTTCCTCCTCAGCGCATCAACGCTCTCCCTCGTCGGCGCGTCCTCGTGAGTGGCGTTGAAGTCGAGACCGTCGTAATGGGCGAGGCGCATCCAGTTTCGCTGGCCCTGCTGGATGCTCAGAATGTTCTTCATGACATAAAGCTCAAACTTGTCGAAATTCTTGTCAATCGCGGCGCACAGCAGCGTCTCCAGCTTGTGGACGCCGTCGACAATCTCGAGCTTCGCCGTCTCCTCGACGTCGACAACCTCGTCCGCGGACCGTTTCTTCTGCTTCAACGCCTTTTCGAAACCAAGCGCTTTCGGGGGCGCTTTCGAGAGACCCTGCTCTACGCGGTCGAGCGTCTTGTCGGCTACGGCGTTGACATTGTTGATGATGCTGTCCAGGAGCGACTGGGAGATGTTAGTCCTGAGGCGTCGCGTGATCTCTGTGCCAAAGGTAGACTTACAATTGGTGCGTATCCCAGGTGTTCCGTCAATAGTTCGACGTCAATTATCGTGCGCTGCGCCATCGTGTTCAGTCGGCTGGCTGGTGGGCCTGTCGGGAGAGATTCGTAGTTGAGTGGGCGGATAAAGTGCCGTCTCCAAAGACGCGACGGACGCGACGAAAGTCAATATTTGGTAAGGCACGTTGACCGAGGGGTCTATTCCCCCGAGAAGGGGGGAGGGGGATAAAGGCCTGAATCGCAAGGCGTCCAGTAGGGGGGCACCGTCCCCCGAATTTCCAGTCCAGCGGCCCAGCACGGCGACACCCGTAATTTTAGCGATTTCGATAGCGGGTAACACTGCCACGCACCTCGGGCGACGTCACGCAGGAAACCAGGATGGAGCGCTGACAGAGAACCACCGCTGGAGACGACGCAATGCGAGCCTCCACCGGTGCTTTTTACATTAATTGCACAACCTGTCGTCGACAAAATCTCCCCTTTCCACACGCCAAGGGCACGAGTCAACAGCAACATTTCTTCCCCCTTTCCCTTTGTTCGACCCAGCCTCCGCAACAATGTCGTCGAACTTTGGAAATTTCATGAAGAATGGCTGGCACCCCGAGAAACCGGGCACCACCTTCAAGGGTCAAGTGGTATGTCACCGGGCGGGCGTCTGCGTCTCTGCAACTGCCAGGGAAAACTGACCAGACACACGACAGAACGGCCTCTTGGGAAGGAAAACGGAGAGCGACAGAGAGGAGCGCGTCGCCAGACCCCTATCGTCCCTCACAGATCCCTCAACTTTTGCACCGCCGCCGAAGCGTGTGCCGGGGACAATTGCACCCCCGCCCCCGCCATCACGTTCCAACGCAACATCACCCGGCGTACCACCGCCGCCGTACGACGACTCGAACCGATATCAGCAGCAACAAGAGGAAGGCGTAGAGGAAGAAGCGGCGCCGCCCAAGCCGTGGCGCACAGATACCACAGGCCTCTCGACCGCCCATCTGCCGCCCCCGCCGGGAAGAAAGGATGGCGCCGACGGACGAACGCCGGTGCCGGGTCAAGCCGCCGCCGCACGGCCGCCGCCCCCGAGCTTACCACCGAGACTGCCACCCAGAACACCCTCCGCCTCGTCGGTAGCGAGACCGGCTTCGCCAGCACCACCACCGGCGTCAAGCAGCGGTGGAGGATATCTGAACCAGAACGCGATGAACAGACTAGGAGCTGCAGGCGTCTCCGTATCCGCACTAGGCATCGGAAAGTCCGCGCCCACACCACCGGCCCGATCCAACGCCAGCAGCCCCGCGCCACCTCCCCGAACCGGAGCATTCTCACCGCCGCCGCCTCCGCCTACCACCACCAGCAGCAGCACCGGCGGCCACATGAGCGAGTTGCAAAACAGATTCGCCAAGCTGGGCAAGTCCGCCGCCGCCAACCACCAATCCTCCACCCCGCCACCGACAGAGGGCACCACAACGGAGCAGAAGCAAGCCGCGCTGCGCACGGCAGCCGACTTCCACAAGAACCCGTCGTCCGTCTCCGTCTCGGACGCCCGGTCCGCCGCGTCGACTTTCAACAACTTTCGTCAGCGGCACGGCGAGCAGGTCAAGTCCGGGTACCAGAGCGCCAACAACTTTAACCAGAAATACGGTATCACGGAAAAGGCCGGGAACTATGCCGGAAAGGCAAAGAGCTTCTACAACGACCAGGTCGGACAGAAGCAGCAGGCCGCGACGACCGCCGACACCACTGCTGCGACCACGGCACCCAGCCCGGCACCGAGCCCGCTGTCACCTCCGCCTGGGCTGGTGAGCGCAGTCGGAAAGAAGAAGCCACCTCCACCGCCGCCCCCAAAGAAGAAGCCACAGCTGGCTGGAGCACCGGCACCGCCGCCCGCGCCTTCGCCTCGAGCACCTGGGCCTGGTGACGACGATGATGCGCCTCCTCCAATCCCCTTGGCAACCAAGCCGACGTTTTGAGCTGAGCGGGTTTTGTGAGGTGATGGTGGTGGCTGGTGGGCATCACGTACGATTCCGAGCCCGAGTTGGTGCATGCACTTTACTTTGCGGCCAGCCAATGCATTCTGTGGCGTTTTGTTAATGGTCAGACTACCTCACCTTGCGGGGTAGTATCAAAATAGAAATCGTACCACTTTGTGGGAGCATCATTCAACTTTCAAGTGTTCATGTAGAATGAAGCTCGTCGAGCAAGTGTATAAGGCAAAAAAGTTGTTTCGTTCATATGATCATAAGCACGGCCGAAGCCGGGTGTGCAGTTTTTATTTTTTTGCTTGCTACGGGGGCTTTTGAAGGGATATATGCCAAAGCAGATGGGTGGTACGCTATAGCAAAGGTGATTTTCTTGTAAGACGTCAAATTATTCAGTCTCCAGAAGAAACACCGATAAAATCTCGAGAAAAAACAACAGGGAAAGAACTAATTCCGTGTCGAGATTTAAACCTTCATGCCCTCGAGACCGTGCTGCCAGACGATGATGTAGGGGGTGACACCATCCTCACGGTAGTTGAGGAGGACGACCCTGTCCACAGGTTAGCATCATTTGGGCGGGTTTATCGAGGGGGGTCCTTTGGGAGGATTTTGCTTACATTCCATCGGGGTTCATCGACTCGCCAGTGTAGAACTCGAAGTCCTTGAAGTTGGGAAGGAGGGTCTCCTTGACGTACTTCTGGGCACCCTTCTCGAAGGCGGTGATCTTCTCGGCGGGGGCGTTCTTCTCCTGAAGAGCAGTCTTGACAGCCTTCATGTAGCCTAATTGCGAAGCTTGTCAGTATGCTAATTACGCCTTTCCTGATGCATGATGAGAGGATGTGATTTCACGCACCCTTGAGGTAGCCGAGGAAGCTCTTCTTGTCGAACTGGGTGGACTGAAGGCGGAAAGAGTGGACAATGTTGTTGACCTTCACCTCGGCATCCTCAGTACCCTCGTCAGCCTCCTCGGCGGAGGCGTTGGCGCCGGTGTCTGTGTGCAAGTCGCTTCTGTCAGAATGTTTGTTCTCTTCTTTTTTATATATCGATAGGTTTGGGAAGCGCGCGGGGTAAGCGCCCAGCGGGGAGGGGTGGTGTGGGCGGATGGGTGGTTCACGAACCGACGGTGACGGCGCCCTCGGTGATCATGGCGCAGTCGGCCTCGAAGACAATGCCATCGATGTCCTTGAGGTCGTAGGAGTCCGAGATGATCTCGTCTCCGGTAATGATGTCCTGTGTCGCGGTTGTTCGGTCAGCACATTGATAATGATCCCCATCTTAAAAACATCAACATTTTTTTCAACTCCCCCGCCGTCCAATGGCGGGGGATTTCCGAAGGAGGGGTAAAAACAGCTATGCCTGGCAGCACAAGCCGTCCATCGTCCTCGAGAGAAGTGATCTGGCAATGACAAAATAGACGTACCTTGTAGATAATCATCTTGGCGGTTTGTCTGAGGTGTCGAGGAGGTGAGGTATTGGCGAGACGGAAAGTTCGTTGTCTGGGTCTGGAGGAGTAGGAGGAACGAGCAGAAAGGAGGGGGGTCGCTTTTGAAGGGCGAAAAGTGTTCGCAAAATTGGCAAGTGGGAGGGACTGTGTTTGGTGGGGTTTTCCGAGCTAGTCTTGATTTGGGGTAGCGGCAAAAAAGCCAGGCGGGTTCCTGTATCCGTACTCATAGGCTGTTAGCGTTCGAGCCGTTACTTCAAGCCAAATCCCTAACAACGTGGCGGGTTGCCCGAAGGGCGAGAACATTGAAGGTGCGGGACGTGGGACCAGAGCCTGAAAAGATATCAATCCGATGAGGTTCGCCTTTCAAGGTATCCTGCGACAGTAACTTATTTTGCTGGCCATTTTAAATCCGTATCTCATCATCCAAGTGAAGAAAAACTGAAGCAATCCTTTAAACTGGGCTTCAGATGCAATGAGCATTTTCAAGCCTGTGGCATTTTTCTCGGCCAAGACGCGATAACCCGGAGCATGTGGTGTTGATTTTGGCGAGGTGAACTGGGTGTCTTACCTAAGCCGTGGATGGAATTGAGCCCTTGACGGCGCCGCTGCCGCTGAAGGGCCTTTTACGATACCCACCGCAGGTCGTGGCTTAATGGGATTGAAGCTGGGATAGCCTCAACTACGTTCTGCGGCTGGTTGAGAGCGGTGAGCCCAGCCCAGACTCACGCCAACCAGGTCTTCCGGGTCACATGAACACGCCTGACGTGTAACATCGTCTGGTGTTTTGTAAAGAGCCCGACACATGGGTTGGGAGTGGGATGGCATTCATGATCAAGGACCGCCCTTGAGACAAAACAATGAAGTTGATCCTCCTTTGTCAGCACACCTCGTCACCCCTCATCATCCTCCCATTCTTCACTCGTCCTTCTTGTTGTTTTGGTCTCACTGATAGGCCTCCTGTACTGTCGTTGGATCATCTGAAAAAAGGGGCGCTTATTCGAGTCCATAGTGGGCGCATCATGCTCGTGAAATTGCCTTGCGGTTTACCTAAGCCCCCTCTCTTAGAGACAACACCATCTGGCGCTTGGCATTCGATCGCATCGCGGTAACACGGGCTTACTTAAGCTACCGAAGCGTCCGCGTATTTACGGCATCGACAGGGGAGGGCCCGGTGGCCTGACACGGCAGCGTAGCAAGCCGCACATGGTTAAAGAGGTGATGACAGCATGGGCAAGCCCGCAAAGCCCGCCGCAATTTACGCGAGCAAATCCGTGACGGGTACTCGAGCTAAGTCCGTCCGTGATGAAAAGAGTTTGAATTGCAGGCCCACGAAGAAGATTTGATCCAAGAGAGGCATCGCGTTGACGTGTTGTTGACGATTCACTATCCGGATACCGCGGCCGTGGGTTTGGACCATTTCGACAATGGAAGTTTGACACGACAGACCAGGTCGAAAGGCCGAGGAGACAAGTGAACAGTTGTGGTTCGATCTGTGGCAAAAGCCGGGAGACGGTCGAAAGGCGAGAGGCCCGCGCCTTTTTACAAGCGAGATTGATAAAAGCGCATCATTCCTGGGCCTGGGAACCTGGCGCGGCGACGCCTGCGTAAGGATACCTACCTTAGTACCTACAGTACGGATATTTGCAAGAGATCTACTACTGCGTGCTCCGTAGAGGGAGAAAAAATTGCCCCGACGTCGCCGCTAATCAGACTCAACTGGGTATCCGTACAATCCACAGACCAAAGGTACCCAGATAAACTCCATTTGTACCTACTATCAGGCGCATTGAAGCACCGCATGCACCGGGCGCGCAAGTCACTCGGGTCAGCGAATACTTGCAACTTTTTGGGCGCATTGCGAACAAGGGCCAATGCTAGCCCAAGCTAGTGAAACCTCGAACCAACTCGCCACCAGTCTCACTCTCCCGACGTCCTCTCACTCACTACCGCCCTACTACGCATACTACTAATTACAATTCGCCCTGCTGCTGCTGCTGCTGCTGCTGCTCTGCTCCGTCTCAGCCCTGTGCTTCGCTCTTTGCTTTGACATCCTCCACCCTCCCACCATCCACCCACCCACCTGGCACAGGCAACCCCCAAGGATTGGCATCTCATATATCCAACTTCCGTCCGCTCCTTACAAACCGCCTCGCCCGCCACACGAACCCGTCACTCCCTATATTCTTCTTTTATCTTCGTTCCTCTGATTCTTCGCCTCGAGACGCACGCGAGCATACAATTCAATCCTCCTCTGACCGACGCAATCGCTAATCCCACCACATCCGAACCGACCGAGCAAACGAGAGAAACCGCCGAACCCGAAAACCCGCCATGGTAAACGAAACCATCCCACCCACGATGGCGGCAAACTTCACGTCGACCGTCGGCGACCTCCCGCCTCTGCCGGAATACACCCTCAAGCCCTATGCCGACCTCATCCCCGGCCTGCCCGACGTCTATCTGCGCATCTTCCTGCCCATCGTCGTCTACTGGATCCTGTCCCTCTTCTTCCACGTCATTGACGTATACGATGTCTGGCCGCAGTACCGCCTGCACACCCCCGAGGAAATCACCAAGCGCAACCACGTTTCCCGCTACGAGGTCGCCCGCGACGTCCTCCTCCAGCAGCTCATCCAGGTCGGCATGTCCGTCTTCCTCGAGTACATTGACGAGGAGCAATTCACCGGCAAGGAGAACTATGACGTCGCCGTCTGGGCCACCCGTGTCCGCGTCGCCCAGCGCGCCCTGCCCACCATCCTCGGCCTGCTCGGCCTCAACGCCGCTTCCCTCGCAAAGAACATGTCCGCCACGCACCCCTTCATTGCCGGTGCGCTCGCCGGCGGTCACTACCCCTTCCTCACCACCGAGCTCGACGGGTCGCACGCCGTCGTCCCCGTCTTCGCCGCCTGGGAACTGCTGGTCGCAAAGGCAATCTATTGGCTTGTCATTCCCGGATTCCAGCTCTTCGCCGCCATTTCTATCCTGGACACATGGCAGTACTTCCTCCACCGTCTCATGCACGTAAACAAGTGGATGTACAGTGAGTTATGACCCAATCCCTCCCCCCGACCTCTCGGGACTCCGACTCGGCCGAATGGCCTCCGGGGTAGTTCGGCGCAAAGGTGGCAAACAGCTCAACTAACACAACAACCTCCCAGCGACATTCCACTCGAGACACCACCGTCTCTACGTCCCCTACGCCTACGGTGCCCTCTACAACCACCCGTTCGAGGGCTTTCTCCTCGACACCCTCGGCGCGGGCATCGGCTTCCTCCTCACCGGCATGAGCGCGAGGCAGGGACTGCTGTTCTTCTGCCTGTCCACCGTCAAGACCGTCGACGACCACTGCGGCTACGCGCTGCCCTGGGACCCCCTCCAGCATATTACGAGCAACAACGCCGCCTACCACGACATCCACCACCAGACGTGGGGCATCAAGACCAACTTCTCTCAGCCCTTCTTCATCTTCTGGGACCGCGCTCTCGACACGCGGTACAAGGGTGACAGGCAAAACCGGTTGCTGGCCTCAAAGGGCAAGGCAGCGGCAGTGGCGGCCAAGTCTGAATAAAGGGTCGCTCGGCGATACGAAATCACAACAAACAAAAGACATAATACAAACTTGCTCCCCTTTTTTCGATTCTGTAAAACAACCCAGCTTGCCCCGATACCACAACGCCAAAACAATCAGAAAGAGAAAATAAAGAAAAAAGTCGAGACCGGTTTCTGGATTCGCACATACAAATCGTGGGGAGGAAAAGCCTGGTACTCGCAAGCAGTAACACAACAAACCACCACTTTATACAATTAACTACAATTAGGGAAAGCATTGGGAATGAGGCGTTTCTTTTTTTTTCAAATCATGTCGAAACAATGGCACACGTTCGATTAAAGGGGCGAGGAGCCGGTCGTCCTGTTTTGGTGTCTTTTTTCTGTTTCAAGTATTGTGACCAACGAAGAGAAAGACTGGCCTGGGAAATTGTATTCTTTTTTTTTTGTTCTTCTTAGCTGTACACACACTCGCAAGCATACGAGTTTACTTTTGACCCCCCTTTTCTACCCTGGGCTCACCGCTGAACATCCATTGAGATGTTGTTGGGCCGAATGCCTCTCAAAGGCTGATTCGCTATCGGGGAAGGAAGAGGACCAACCGGAGGAGGAGGGAGAGGAAGAGGAAGAGGAGCGGAGGGGCAAGAGGAGGAAAACAAAGAAGATGACCCGCTTACAACTACATTGACTAATGGAAAGATTATAATAATTCCTTACACTCGTTCTTGGGGGGGTTAGATCATGAATCCCTGAGAATTTCTCAAGCGTGTACTCGGCAACTTTTGTTACTAGACGTAGTATACCTCTTGATAAGGGGACATATCCATACGCCATACTTCAGTTGAGTTGACAGTTCAGGAGTTGTATTTCTGTCCCCGGAGAGGCACACGGGAAAGAAGGTGGCCGCGGGATGTCTCCTGGCGTTTAAAGTCATTACGAGGATACCCATCCTCCTCTTGTATACCTTAGGTAGGTACCCTCAACATGTAAGCAACGGCACCGCTTCTATATTTGTCGACGTGCGCCTCAAACACAGATGGAGCTGCAGATGGAACACAGGCACCTTGGGTGAGTAAGGTAAGCAGATGCAGGAAGTTGGAACTATTTGACATTTCGTACATATTACATATAACCCGCATGCATCAGCAAGACCAACAGCACCAGCAGCACCTTGCAGAATGCAGTCACAGAACAGGGGCCATCGACGTGTTTGTAGTTCATCGGAGTCGGGAGAAACATGTAACTTCCCAAGAAAGGGGTTCGGTTCTCGGTCGTCCGAACGCTTGGGGCACATCTTGTTTACCCGTTGTTTGCCTTGCATGGCTTGTCTCTGCTTGCTGCCCCTGATCTGACCGGATCTGTATCTTCCTGAGCGAGCGTGCAAATCCGCCCTGTTGATGGATTCATTCATCCATGGCACGAATACTCTCCACCAGTCTACGCTCACGTGAATTCCCAAGGGGGCGCAAAGTTCCAAACCACTCATAGACCCCAGAATTTTCATCCACGTCCTCCAGGGGAAGCAGGGTCCGTTGTAGACGACGGTCGAACGGGTATGATTGTGCCTTGAACACTCCATCCTTGGAGTGCCCGAGATGGAGCAGCCTTGAGTGGCGAGCAAGTTACCACAAGTAACGCCATAGCGGGCAGCTTCTCTTTTTTATATACATTCTTGTTACTAGTAATTCTGGCAACGAGGCGATGTAGCTCTTGGGATCTTTCACCCAAGGTAAGGTACCTCGCTGTACTTACTTACATGACGGGCCTCGAGATCAAAGGGGGGTCGCGGGTTCGAGCCGGCTTTCTTTCCTAACTTTTTTTTTCTCGACTTTTTTTTTTTTTAGAATGGACTGATGTTCCTCTCTGACCATAATGTTTAGTGAACATTGCTTCAAATCATGTGGCTCCTCGCCAAAATGCAACTCCATATCGTCCTACGATTACGACGGCTAACTTCGTACCTTGTTTTATGTGAAGAGTAGTCTCCCATTGCACCGCCACGTCTGGAATAGGGTCATCCGACAATCCGCTTCCTCCCGGTAACCTGGAAGGGTTCTTCCCGTTCGTGCAATGATATTTGGAAACAGAGTAGAATAACTTACAATAAATGGGATGCACGCACATACGCACATGCGCACACATTGAAACGGGCGGCGAACTGGAGACAGCAGACCGTGCCACGAAACAAAGCCATAGGAGGCACCCGGGAGACTATCTCTCCCACTCACTCGACACTCGAACCCAGCGCGCGTTTGGAAACAACCAGGCTTTTTGTCATGATCACAACGGCCTCCGTGCTTTTCCAGAGAGACAATCCCGAAGAATGGCGAGTGGAGGGAGGCCTCATTGAGGGCAGGTCGAGCCTGATTGTTTGATTGATTTGACACTTGACAAGTTCGGGGACGCGGAGTTCGAACGGGGCCAGGAGCTCGGGGAGTCGGCGCCGCAGGCTGGATGGATATCGTGGGGAAGGATGCTGATCTTTCGAGTTGGGCTCACTCACACTTTGCCGCAATAGTCGGAACGGAACTAGCCGTGCTTGTTACTCGCTGCTTGCCTCAGGTGAGCAATTACGAAATAACATCTGGCGTCGAGTATGGCTGCAAGTGGCATTGTCCCGTACCACGCAATAGCATTTCCACGGCTGCGAGGTCGACACACAACTGGGCTTCTTCGAGCCACAATTGGAAGTTCAAGTTGGGGCACTAAGGGTCGGGAAGTTTGAGTTAATTGTGTCCCACTCCTGAAAACCAACGGCCACAGCATTGCTCCGGCGTTGCTTTTCTTGAGACATCCCACCGTAGTGTGGGCACTCTCGTGATATTGAATGTCTTACAACACACTCGTTCAGGAGAACCAGGAGATTGGGTGTGAACAGGGGTTCATTCCACTCTGGCATTGGGTTGGACCCTTAACGGCTATTGGCTTCCAGACGTTACCTCGAGAGAGGCACGACAGCCAATGAACAGTTCGGCACACGACGGCCCCCGGAGTTCTTAGTTTTTCGACTGCGACGCTGTGCCTCAGCCAGGACCTATGTGGCAAGCTTCAGTCTTCAGACATGACAGTTCGTTTGAGTCGGGGAGAAGCTTAGACAATCAGCGGGTGATGGGTCTGGAGGAGTTGAATGCAGTACAGACGAACTGAGGACGGCGACAAACATGTTTCCTGCGACGTGGATAGAATGGATCCGAGTCGTGAAAAAAAGAAAAAATACTAAAGCACCAGGCTGTGTGGCCGCGCGCACAGTCGGTTTCTACCGCTTTGTTTGAGAATTGCAAAACAAAGGTAGCTGTCGAGTCAAGTTGAGACGAGTATGGAGTCGGCCGTAACCGTTAAGCTAGGACCATGGAAACCTTGCAGTCGTTGCAGAGCGCGGAACCGAGGGGAGGGAGGATGCAGTCTGCCGGCCGAGTGTGCTATTCCCTAACACCGATTACGAAGTCGTCGCTCAAACCGATATTAGAGTTATTGGGCAACCACAACTGTTTGAGGCATCGCCGACTCTGCACAGGACAAGTCGGCGGCGGTCTGGGAGTCGCTCATCACGAGGTCTCGACTCGGCGTCGCGTCGCATGAAGAAAGCATACGAGCGTAAGTCGTGGTGGGTAGTCGTGCCCAAGCCTTTGACGCCAGCTCAGATATATCGAGTTGCAAAAGAGCACGACTCCAAGACGCAAACAGGTAGATTGTGCGGCACCGCGGGCATCCGGTACGTGACATTGAGGTAGCCAAGTCGTCTCGATCCATCTTGAAAGAGCTGCTGCCGCCCCGTGTGATGCAACCATTGCATTTGATGCCGTCCTCTAGCCAACGGCTAGATGATGCGCCATTCGAGTATGACCAAAGTATCCCGTTCCACCGGTACCAGAGGCGACGCTAGATCTGTGGCAGGAGGCACAAAACGCGAAGCTATGCCATGTCAACGCTGTGGAGAGATGAGGAAGCGTTTGCCTTTACAGGTCTGCTAATGGCCGCGAAGAAGAGATGCACAACACCACAAAGGAATTGATGCAGGGTTTCTGCATCTAGTTCCTTGCGCTAGTGCCCTCCGGTGGCTGCAGCTACCACCCCACAGCGGAGACATACCGCATTCAATGGCTTGAACGCCTGCCACGATCCGGTCTATGGTATCGTCAGTGGTGGAGTGGATAGTGATGTTCCGTTGACGGACTCCAGTTCGGCGCAGGTCCGATCTGGATTGGCGGGTTCCCGATTCATCTCGATGGTCGAGAACTGATAGCCATACCCGTTGAACTAGCACGAGTGAATTCAGCTGCGACGGAAGCGACTAGGGCCGGGAACGCCAGCAAGCTATTGGCACCAAGCCGCAGGATGCTACCTGTAAGCCGGTCATCTGTGAGAGAGTGAGACATTGGCGGTCAAAGGCAGCTGGACTCGGATGGGAATGGCGATTGCGACGGAACCAGTCGGCCGTGATTTACATATCTTGATGGACGGTAATCGAGGTATGACGCCCAATGGGACCCTGCATCGGGGCAACGGACAATGCGGTCTCCTGAGTTGCTGCGTTGCTGCGTGTCCGGGTTGAGGTGGTATTGGCCCCTTGGGGATCATGCCTAGACTGTTGCCAACTTGGATCAAATCAATAAGGCTGGTTAGCTGGGGGCTGCCACGTCGGCGATGCTACAAGAGAAACGGCCTGACGATAAGGCCCGGGAGACGATTGAATGACAGGCACGTCACCAGGAAGAATCATGGTCGGGGGCATCATGTGAGGTTTGCTTTTCATGCTGAAATGCAGCACGGATGTCGCGGAGATTCCACGACGGCGTGCTGCTGTGTTTGTACTTAGTGGTGTATCGCGTGCTGTGCTGTGGAGTGAGGTCACTGGTGAAATTGGCAGTGTAGGAGTCAGGTGGGCTTCGTCTAATGTCGTTGAAGGTACATCTGGGGTCGGGAAGCATTGGTAATGAAACCAGGTATTGGCTGGGGTACACCGTACACCGTACCTACACCATGCGGATACAGCCAATTTGATCGATCGAGGTGTGCCGCCTGGGTGCCGTGCATGCTGACGAATGTGCAGTGTTTGATCACCCGCGGCACTGCTGCCAGCATCATCTTGAATGTCTGATTTGTGCTTTTCAGTACGGAGTATAGCATATATCAAGTCGGATAACGGCAGGTTGTGACGGGCGACGAACAGGGAGGGCGCGGTCTTCGAGTCTTGGGTGAAGAGGCCGACGGAAGTCGGCGTGGGGCTTCTTTGCCGTCCATGGTACCGGGAGACCGAGACTGATTGGCTCCGGGGCTGACACGGTTCACCCGCTGAGCGTTGTTGTGGAAGGAGAGGACTGGGTGGTGACTACGCAGTGTGACGAGTGGTGTGCTCGGGGAATAGACACGGGGGATTTGAGAGGAAGGAATACACGAAACACACACCCAAACTGGCATCACCATCGTCGTGCTGTACCTGCCTTCTTCCTCGTAGAGTGGAGGTAGAAGGAAGGTGTGCCTGCCACCACACCTACCGGTACTTCTTGTACGTGCTTACTACCTGGGTAAGTAGACTTTACAGGATGAGTGACGTTCCGCGATAGTTGTTTCTCAAAGGGGAAGATGAATGCGCCAAATGAGACAGGAACGGATGATCCTGTTCTTTCCGTTTTCCCGTCTGCTTGTCACAGCCGACATTTTGAGGCAAGAAAGGCGCACGCAAGGTGCTTCGCTCTGACGGTTTCCAGGCTGCATCCTGCAGGTACAGAACGGTGTCTGTCACACGCACAAGCACATGCACAAATCATCACCTATCCAGGTAAGTAAGTACCCTTACCTACTGCGTGCAAGGTACCTTACACAGAGCTCCCTTCTCTGACCTTTGGGAGCCGTCAGCCGTCTCAAATGCAAATGGCTTGGCCATCTTTCGGCCGCCTCAAGTCTCGAGTCTCGAATTCACCTTGCCCTGTCACCTTGTGCCGCAAATAGAGAGATACAAAGATACCTAAACAAAACACCTGGCTACGCCACGAAATCAACAGCCAACCGCCGTCTTTCTCTGCTTGCGGTCCTGAGACGGTCCCAACGTCACCTTGATCAAATCGACCTCCAGGGCTCCAGTCTTCAGGGCTCCAGTCAAAAAGTCACCTTCAAGGTTGTTTCCTCGCAGCTTTCTAGCCAATCCCCACTGCACGGTACCTTACAATAACGGACCTTAATTAAAGAACATCGTCCAATAGATCCTCCCGCACGGCAACGTCCCCCTGCTCCTGCACCCGGCACTCAACCTCGAACAAGGAGTCAAGCTCAACCCACATGGCCTGTCGAGCCTTTGCTAGCCCTGGCCATAGTAGCCCGCTGCATGAACTTACCAAGTACTCCGTCCCTACTGCGCATCACTCCACGGATACTCGCCTTTGCTCTTCAGGCCTCGGGCTTCAGCAGTTTCTGCCACACTACCAACTGCGTCAGGAAAGGCCCGTCTGCTTTGCCGTACAAGGTTGGAAAGCCACAATTCTCCCGCCTACGTCGCCCAACGCTGCTGTCGCCGCCTCATCTCTTCCTAATCTGGTCCAACTACCTTCACCATCGACGCCTCCTCCGACTGGGGCCTCGCGCGGGTCCTACGGAATTACCAGAGGCAGAAGGGGGCTTGCGGACGCTCAAAGCGTCGCCAGATCGAGTACAAGGACCATTCGGTAATCCACAAGAGCCCACCACGCCTCTCCTTCAGCTCTTGTCTTTCGCTAGTGCCCGTCGAGGGGCCCTTCAAATAGACTGGGAGACCCTGGCTTGGCTCTCGCTCTTCCACTGGTCAGACCGGCCTGCAGAGCATCTCTGCTACCACCGTCTAATTATTCTCTCACCCGCGCTACTGCTTCAGCTTGCAAAATCCTGGGTCCAACTCCGTCCAAGGCTCGCGAGACGTGCCCCCGTTTCCGTCCGAGGTTCATATTTATTACAGAGCAACCTCGAAAGAAACTTCCTCGACGACTATCCCATACCTGTCCATACACCGTACACCGTACACCGTACTCCGTCATCCTCCCACAAACCGGTCCTCCAAAGGCTCCAAACCCAACCACCAGTCCACCACCAACCTACTCGAGACGGGGTACCTGGCGACCATCTCAACCTCTAACACCCCATCTGGACATTTACAATTCCTCCGTTACCTCGCCTGTTTCCAAACCTAGAAACCGTACCTGCTTTGCCGTCTTTGCTCTGCATGCCCAGGGCCCGCCCGCTTGTTTCTCTAAGCGCTCGCCAGTCAGCAATCGACTTCGCCCTTCCAGATCACCAACACGGCGCTTCCACGCACATCCAGTCCCCTCTATTGGCCACCCACCCTGTCCCTCAATTTCAAATCTGCCTCGCCTGTCATCAACCCGGTGCTGCTCTGCGTCTATCCAGACAGAATGGGACTGCTCCTGGCGTTTCATTGATATCGAATTAGACTGTGGTATCCCAACCAACGCCGGCCAAGTCGACTTACACCACGCCGGCCGGGCCAACGTGCAGATCCAAGCCTCCCCAGCTTTACCCGTACCAACAGACGCGGCGCAGCGGGACAAACATTCCATTAATTGAGACTTACACCCCGCGACCCTATTTGATTCGGGCTTCCGCCTTTTTTCTAGCTTCCCATCATGGACCCTACAACGACACTCTTTACGTTCATGCTGTGAGTCGTTTTTATTTAATTCTTTGGAATCTCGCTTTCGTTTTCTTCTCCCGTTCGCTGGTCGAAACTTTGGCGTCGCTTTCGCTCCAAATCCAACAAGATCGATCGTCCTCTCGTTCGAACTCGCATAATTGTATGTCTGGCCAATAGCCTCGATCCCCTCGTCCCATCACGCCTTATACATGACTCCTGCACAATTCCAAGTACGGCCGAGTGAAGCACAAGGCCTGCGAAAGTTCGCTGCCTCTCCTCATTTAGCATTCACACACATCTCTTCGGTTTCCCCAAAGGGTCGGGGAAAGCATTCGGGGACCGGCGCCGAAGGTTGTTTGCTTCTGCTTAACCGTCTGCTTGGGCTCATGTTTCGAACATTGTCGGACGGAAAAGTTTATATCGGGTTATGCTATGCCCTACCTCCCCGGCCCTGGCCTGCGCCCGTTCCTCCCCTCACACCTTCTCACCTGCCATTACCAGCTTCTCAGCGGCAACCTTCCGAGAACTCCGTCAAACACTTTGCAAAGCCAAAAAATCGTCGCCGACGGTGATCGGCACCTCGTCCGCTCCTGGGTGGGGGACAGGGGACCAGGTCTGATGCTCGGCGCAAGCCCAGTTGCTGGTGTCTTGGCTTTGGCATCATGCTTCACACCTTCTCACTTGCTCTTGATATATATCACCAGAAGCAGCCCCTCTGTTCCGTTTTTGCTGACCATCACGACTATGTAGTCAGACTCATCCGACTGTAAGATCAGTACACTTGGTCGGCTCTTGGGACAACTTTACCAAACCATACACCATGGAACGAGATATTCGACGAGACCGTGGCCAATGGCGCGGGTGCCACACATTCAAGGACATTGTTCTGGACGACGACTTGGGTGCGAGGGACACGAAGCGCAACGGCGGCCTGAAGATGGGAAACACCTACTACTACTATGTACGTTGTTTGGCGAGGCGAAGCCAGGTTGATCCGGGCACTAACACGTCTTAGTATGAGATTGACGGAACTCAAGAGTCGCACAACCCGGCGCTACCTACCACCACTAACTGCCCCTATCTTCCCGGACAGACTGTCAACACTCTGGACGTTCCTTACGAAGTGGCAGAGAGGAAGCGAAGCGCATCGTTGGGTTCGCTCCGCCCTGGTGAACAGAAGACCATGAACCCCGAAGACAAGTTCATCACGCCTCGGCCGCCGCCACCAGTGCCTGGCGGTCAAATTCGAAGACTGGGCTCTGCACCGGCCGCACAACCTACCAGATCCATTTCTCGTGCCGGCTCTACCTCCCCGCCACCATCATGGCGTCGCATGTTCAACAGGAAGCCGTCCACCAGCCGGCTTGCTGAGCGTGGTCGCCAACCCGACGATGAGGACCGCCCTCTCTCACCGTACTCTGGATCTTCTTCAGATGACAACAGAAGCGGTTCATCTGAGGGAAGCCGAACTCGCGATCTTTCTCCAGAGTCCCTGAGACGGTTCCTCTCCGATGAGAACCCCTTCTCCAGCGCTTCTTCTAGCGCATACGGGCGCCCGCCTGTTGTTATCCCCGACGACATTGCCGAGGAGGGAGACGATGATGAGAACTTTGCCAACTCGGCCTACGAGGTCAACCCCTACACGACTAGCCTGTCACCACCGCCCTTTAAACGTTCTCACTCCGACAGCACCCTGCCGGTAGTGCACGCCCCGCGAGTTCTCACCCGCGAGAAGAAGTACTCGCCTCTCCCTCCCCTCCCCGTCAACAAGACGCTGAGAGACCTGGCGACGGTACCATCCGCCTCGCGCTTCTCATTTTCCTCTGACTCTAGCGTCGCCTCCTCCATTGGCCCCGTCTCTCCCGAGGATGATACACCATCCTTTTACGACTCTACCGAGGAGGATCGCTACTCCAACGAGAGCGACGCCAATTTTGTTCAGCCCCTGTCTCTTCCCAGCACGAGGAAGCCGTCTCTGGAGCAGAACTACAGCTTGCCCCGGGCTCCCGGTATCAAGGTCCATCCTGGTGTCCACACCATGGTTGCTGCCCCTGCAGACAACGGCCTCGACGACTTGGTCAACGAGATGGGCTGGATGGTTGATGTCATCCGCGGCAAGGGCATCTAAACAGAAATTTACTACGCAGGTTACACTACACGGTGACTCTGCACTACCGTCGTATATATCGATGGCGAAGCACACAATCAAAGCCACCTAGACGGATTACATATCAGGTTATACAAAAAGGCGACATCGCATCAGCCTTCCCAACTGGGGCTCAGGGCTGATCAGCTCGAATTCACACAAAGGAATCGGATTTTGGACGGAGTACTGGACGAGATATACCCTTTCCTTCCCCTTCTACAGCTACTACCACTCATGGCTTTCATGCCAACGGCGTTTTATGGAGTGGACATTTTGAGGAACTCTGGGGGCGAATGGAACGGAAATCACACAAAGGAAAAGACGGAAATGGGAAACGGCGCAAATGTGGTACAACATTACCAAGGTGTTTGGTGTATCTGGGTCGGATTTGTCGTGGCTGCATTGAGCAAGCTTCATTGATGGGAAATGGTTACTCATGCAAACTAGCGTTGCCAGTCTAGGAGGAACGAAGAGATCGTGATAGATGGGCCTGAATGAAACATCTGCAATGACTCAAGAAGCTTGAAACTGCCTCCTCCCCCCATATGCCAAGTGACAGAAGTCGTTTGTCGAATCCCAACATCCCGGGTTACCGCCGGCTGTTAAATTGCGGCGTGGGGTCACTGACCTTTTCAGCCCCCCAGGAAAAGCAAGCAAACTTGGCTCTTTTCGAGGCTCTGGCTCAATAAGCTTCTTTTTGCTGCTTGCGTGCCTTACGAAGAGTGACTCGACCATCTGTGCACCCGGTTGGGTTTCGAAGGGTTCAGAGTCGTGGACGGTGGAAGTTGCTGCGAGGCTCGGCCGAGGCCTCGTACGAGCTGGATGGGGCACCATGGCGATTGGTCGAGAGGTGAGTGTGTATGTGTGTGCCTGAATAGTAGTCTGTACGTGTGTGTGTGCCTGGTTATTAGTGTATGGGTGGGTGGGTGAAGGTTGTTTGTTGTATGGGCAAACTCAAGAGTTGAGCAAGAGTAAGCGAGGGAAAATAAAATGCTTAGCATGAGCAGTTAAGCCTAGTGGGAGAAACTCCCAGTTCTCAATGAGAGCCATCCAAAAGGGGAAATATGTTCATCAACCATGAAAGAAGCTTAGCCATGCAGGTCATTTGGTTTTTCCCTCTTCTTGGGATAAGGTACGGCGACGGCGGTATGGGAGGAGGGGAGAGGATGACGACGATGTGTAAGTGGTCGGACTGGGTTCCCGACGGGCGTTTCCCCCCCCCTTTTCCCTTCTTTCTCTTCAAGACCTACATTCTCTCTATTATTTTTCACGATGTTTACTTTGGGCCAGCGGCCGTAGTTTGGAGCTTGGGATACGGAAGCCTTCTTCATGACTTTTACTGGCTAGTTGAAAGTTGTGATTTAGTATTGCCAGTTAATTTTTCATTATTGATTGGATCCCCACGATCTCAATCATGAATTTTGGTTTGCAGTTTTTGTGTTTCTGTCGTTTTCATCTTGAAAGCTTTTGAATATGGTATGTATTGTTCGCGTCGGCGAGCGTCGTCATGGTCCATCGTCATGGTCACCCTCTTCCCTAGGTAGTGTGATTTTCATCGTGCCCTACTTGCCGTGATTTCCCCGATCACGCCGGGGAAGAATGACGACATGTACTCAGATACGATGGTCCGTCCCCTCTTGTGTGTCTCTTCATGATGGCGTTTCAACACGTGTGTGTTCAAGGGGACTTACCGGTAAGAGAGGAGTGAGGAGTATGTTGAAGGGGCATGTAAGAAGGGGGGCCCGAAGGAGGAAGAAGCGGTTGAATTACGACCCTGTTCAACTCACGAGACCCCTCATATGGGCTCTCTCTGCGGTATGGCGTACCTCCTCAATGCACCCGCATATTGTTCGCCAAGTGATGTCAACGTCGGAACAGAAAAAGAGAATTGAGACGGGAGATTCGGGGAGATGCGAATATTTCAGCGAGGTATAGTGTGGGTGTTCCTATATTTGCGATCACCATCCTCATCCAGCCGAGTATCCAACTATACGTCCCACCCCAGCCAGGTACCCATCCAGGCACAAGGAGTCAAAATCTTGAATGGTTGATGGAAGGGGTTGTGTGGCCCGGTTGCTTATTCTTCATGCCCAATCGGCGACCAGTGGGATTACTGGCCGGGAGGTGGAGGGAAAGGGAAAGGCTCAGACGAGGGAAATAGTGGAGGGTCTTACTGAGACCGCAGCACCATGACCATGGGACGACGACATATTAGTGAGCGTAAAAGTTGATGGTGTGTGTATACGTACGTACGACTAGGAGAATTATAGAGAGGGGAGGGAGAGAGAGGTACGTAAGGCCAAGTACGACTACGGGGAACGAATGAAAACTTCGGATGATTGGAAGGGGAGAGACGGGAATCCGATATCGAACCCGAAAGCTTGGGATGGTTATGTGTATGGCATGGTAGGCTCAAGACAGAGTGAAGGTGGAGGTGAAGGGGTCGGATGGCCAGTGGAAGAAGGGTGAAGCATGCTTTGATGAGGCTCAACGTCGGATTTGCGGCTCCGTGTCAACAGCCTTACTTCCTGTGATGCTACTATTACTTCTTTGCTCGCGTAAACGGATATAGTGTGTCTGCGTGTGGAAGTTACGTAGATGGATTGTATGGGACGGCGTGGTGTACAGAATGCAACCACGTAACCTCGTCTCCTCCGTCCACCTATATCTCACGCAGCATTGATAGTGTTTTCGATTCGATCATAAATTGAATTCCGAGTCTTACTGCGTCCAACGGCGTTACATTCCTTCGTACCTCCACCTTTTACCACTTCCCTACCCTTGACCTGACATCTTCCTCCTGACCATGCGTTCCTACGCACCGCATCCATCACGACTCATGCCCGGAACAAGAAAGTCGAGACCTCACTTCACATTAGACTTTTCCCCTCTCTCTTACTACCTTGCAGTACTGCGTAGTATACGCCTGTGCGTTGGTAAATGGTCTGTCTACAGTCGTACGTGAACGTGCCCTGATCTGATCACAAAAAACCATCCCAACATTCTTCGGCGCGCGCGCGACTGCAAAAGATCTGGTACGAGAAAAGTCAACCACTACACCCCCAACGTCCAAACAAATTCTTAAATAACGTTTTTCATGCCCTCCAACCCAACCGTACCACCGTACCACCTAGCCAGCCATACCGGCCAGTAACTCAGTCTACTTTCGGTCTGCTATCCCCCTTTCGCGCTTCATCATCCAGCTTCCGAGGGCCCCTTGATACCATTGAATTGTGTCATTACGTACGAAATGGGAGGAAAAACAAATCTCGAAAAGAGACTTTGACGACACGGAAGGGGAAGAAGGGGGGGTTACGTGTGTGTACCGTCGGTCTTTTTGTCTCCCGGCCGAAAAGACTAACCCGGAGTACCGTGGAGTTCCGGAATTCTATCTGCTGGACACTACGTAGAACGCAAATTCCCTTGAACTGGGCCCTTTGTCTTGATGTAGTCATCGCATGTCTCATTGGTGATACTTGTGAACAATACCATACCGTGATGACCAGTGATGCAAAGGAAACGAACAACGCACCAAAGAACAGAGTGAGGCATTGTTCAATTTTCTCAGAGCACTTCCGAGAACGTCAGGGCATCCCCTTCCCCCCATCCGCGAAGGGGGAAACTGCCCTACGGGTATTATCACAATAGAAATACAGTATTCCCATCCCATCCCACACCAAAAAAAGGCCTTAGATAACGCCGTACCCAATACAGCAAGGGCCTGATGAACGCCCGTGAACATCGGGGACCTCAAAAGTCGAGCCCTGGCCCCATGGTTTGACTTTCCTCCTACCCTCCCTCTGAACTCCCCGTGTGTAGGTATGTGTGTATGCTGGTGTGTGCCTTGTTTCGGCCCACTCTCTCCGATCTGATCGGTCGGAGCCTATATTTGTTTAGGGCGCTGGGACAAATCGTCCGATGAACATCCTCAAACGGCCGTGGTTTTTTCGTTCCCGTTAACGTTTTTTCTTTTCTGCTCAACTACTCAGGCGGGCCTTCCATAGAGTTTGTCCTTACTCAGACAACAGTCGCAACCGAAGCGGCAGCGGGTTGTGGGGCAGACTCGGCGACGACCAAGTTCGCTTCCTTGTCCTGGGTGGGTTGAACTTGGCCTGGTGGTGGTGGTTGCGGCGCCTGCGGCTGGGCTGGCGGCGGCGGCTGCTGGGTCTGCGGCTGCGTCTGTGTCTGCCCCGCCAACGGTAACGGTGAGGGCACCGTTGCGGCATCCGTCTTCGTTGTCGGCTGATCCACCACTCCCTCCGGAGCAGGCAGCGTCGTCTTGGCATCATTGGGTTCCTGCTTCTCGGTGCCTTCCCCGACGGCGCCGTTGCCTTTCTCAGCCTCTGTCTCTGGAACCTTGACCTCTTCCTTTTCCACCTCCTTCTTCTTCGGTTGTCTTGGCGGACCTCCCTTGAGGAACCGCTCCGGCACCCCGCGAGCGGCATATGTGCAGCTGCCGACCCATGCGCCAAGCAGGCTGCTCCACTTGTACTCGCCGCGGCGGAGTCGTTGGATTTCGCGGTACGCGTAGGCGTTGAAATAAGGTAAACCCGTCTCAGGGTCGCGGTAGCGAGCGGGGTGGGCGGTAATGACACATACTGGCCGGGGCGCTGGCTTTGCAAGGCGGTCCATCCGCCGTCCAAAGAGAATCTGGGTCTGAACTGTCTTGTCACGCACACGCTCTTCGTCAAAGTTGCGAAGAATAAAGGCGTTGCGAGCAACCTCGCTCGGAGGAGGCTCCTCAAGCGCCGGTGCCTCTGCCGGCGCAGGCGTAGTCGTAGGTGGTGCGGGAGGAGAGGGACCGATCGTCGGTTGTGATGGAGGCTTAGGCGGAGCAATTGGTTGTGTCGGTTGGAGTGGTGCTAGTGAAGGTGGCGGCGGCGGCGGTCTTGCTAATGGTGGAGGGGGAGGAGCCGGCATGGAGAGAGGAGACTTGTGCTGGCATGCATTCGGAGGCGCCAGAACATTGGACTTTGGCTGCGTCGTGTGTTGAGCAAGGTGGATGCCACCCAAGGGAGGGGCGAGGACGGGCGGCGCGAGCACTGGAGCTGCCAACACCGATGTCTTTGGAGGTGGTGGAATAGGGGGAGGAGCCATGGATATGGAGCCAAAGGTCGGCGGTGGAGGCATTGATGGTGGTGCCATGATCCTGGATTTGTCTTCAGGTTTGGGCATAGCGAGTGACGACGATGGCGGTGAAGGAATGGGTGGGGAAGCCATCACACGGGGGCGATCTTCCGTCTTCACTATCGGTGCAAGGTCTGTTTGGACGGACGGGACCGGTGTCGATGGCGAAGGTGCCTTTGAAGCATCGTTCTGCTGAGGTTGTTCGACATCCGTCGACGTCGGAGGAACTGGCGGAGCGTCAGGCTTTGCGATCGATTGCCTCTCTACTGTTGTCTCTGTCGTCGATGAAGGCAGCGTCGGCTCAGAAGCATTCGACGCCGAGCCCTCCTCCTTGCCATCTCTCTGGTCCTTCTCCTTGCCCTTCGTCTTGTCCACCTTTTCCTTCTTCTCCCTCTTCTTCCGGACGGGCTTCTCCTCCTCGGCGACCCTGCCAACGTGCTTCAGATGATGCTCCCACTCACCAATGCCGCTCCAGTACGTCACTACAGGGCCCTTGAGTGTTCGGTTGTTGAGAGCGGCAAGCTTCGCAAGGCGCTCTTCTTCTCGCGCTTTTTCGGCCACCTCCCATCTGTTCAACGACTTTGCGTTGCGCTTTTCCACGAGGGCCGCCTCAGCCAGCCGTTCCGCCTGCGTCATTGGCGGTTTCTTGGACGCCTCGAGCTTCTGTGCCTTCTTTTCCATGATGGCCACCTGTTTCAAACGCTTCGCCTCGCGTTCCTTCATCTGTTGGTGCAGCTGCTCCTTGCTGAGCATCGTCGTCTGACGGAGCGAGGCGCGGATAGGCATGTCAGTCGCTGAGGGCAGCCAGCTCGTCCGTTCCGATTTCTTTTTCGGTCGCGGCGCGGGTGCGGCCGCTTGTTCGATGCGGACCTTTTTTCTGAACTTGGCCGGGATAGCTTCCTGGGCTTTGCGTTTCCGCGATGCCAGCTTCTTCTCCCTGGCCTGCTTTTCGAGCTCCTTTTCTCCGTCCAAATCGTCCCCCTGTTGCTGGTCATCCTCGTCGTCGGAGGACGAGTCCATTTGCACGTCGGAACCAGCATCGTCCACATCGCTGAAGCCTTCGTCGTTATCGTCTTCGGCGAAGAGTAGTTCGAGATCTGAGTCGGGTTCTTCGTTGGCGAGCATCGACTTCATGCGGTTACCGGCGGTTGACCGCTTTTCTCGACCGGTCGCCAACCATTCTACTGTCGTCGGAGTGGCGACTGTCGGGGTCTCATTTTCGCTGTCGCTGCCGCTAGAGTCCGAAGACTCATCGCGCGATGAAGGTTTGGTGTCATTTGCCGTCGTAGCCATCGCGTCGGTCGAATTGAAGGGTGTGGATTTGGGCCCTTAGCCCATCTCTGCCGCGCTATGAGAGGTGCGGCGTGTAAAGCCGGCGGCCTGTTCGAGTAAAATGAGTTGCGTGGATAGAATTTTGACGTTGCTGGTGGTAAAATCTTGTCTGCGTGAGACGCGTCCAGAAGGGTGGGAAAAAAAAATTGTAGATGTAGCGGCCGTCGCGGCACTTGTGACGTCTGACAACTCGACTTCCCTAGGACCACCTCCCGGCAAGGTACCAGTTACAAGCGAATCGGGAGTTAGCGGACAGCGGGCAGCGACCAACGGCCCCGAGTCCCTCAGTGGGGCTTAGGGAGCGTTGCCTCCGTGCGCCGTCACCCGATTTCTTGAGGCGACTGACTACCTTAAATGTTGCCGCGGCTGCCCAAGGTATACTGGCCAACACTATACATGTCAGCTTTTCATCGCAGACGAGATCTTGATATAATGTTCTATATTTCAAGTTTCTTTGCATAGATTCCTATGGCTTGTAATCGCTAATCTGTGGCTGGCATTGCCAGCTCCTTGTGTGTACTCCGTTCCGATGACCAAACGCCGCCTGCTAATTCATGTAATGCTCCCGCATCCCTTACAGCCCAAAAGTACAGGTGAATCTAGACCTGTTCAAATCACATCTCCTCACTCCAGCTCTCACCCGCCTGAGTCCACTCTTTACACCATCCGAACCAGTACCTCTTATTGCAGCGAGGATCCGAAGGGGGTGCCTTGGTGGGCGCTGATGTCGGGGTGGCCGTGGGAGCGGCAGTGATGGTGTGAGACGGGGTTGCGCCAGGGAACAAAGTCGTGCTCGTGGTCGATGTGGTCTTGTCCTTGCAGCCAAACCATCCAGGTGTCTTGCAAGTAGTCGTAGTTGTTGTAGTCTTAGTTGAAGACGAAGTGGTTGTGGTCGTGGTCGTTTCGTCCTTGCATCCAAACCACCCAGGGGTCTTACAAGTGGACGTGGTCGATGTTGAAGTAGTAGTCGTGACCGGCGTCGTCGTGGTCTCATCCAAGCAACCCCACCAGCCTGGCGTCTGGCAGGTGGCTGTTCGAGTACGCGTCTTCGATGTCGTCGAGGACTTGGACGTAGTGGTGGATTCAGTTCCATTGCTTTCATACATCTTCCAGTTGGCGCAGTCGCGACATTCTGGTGTAGCCTTGCACTCTGGAACCGTGTCATACTTCATGATGACATCGTGGATCACAGATCGGATCTTGTGGGTTCCAATGCCGACTCTCCATCCCTTGTCAGCCACGACGTCGTAAACGCACTCAAGTCCAGAATGGCAGGCCGATTCCATGGCATACCCAGCAAAGGAGCACGTCGCGGTAGCACCATTACAGGTGCCAATGTAGATGGGGTCTGCCGTGTGACCGAAATGGAAGGCGCCCGTATCTGTGCGAGCCTGATGAAGCATCTGATCGTACCCTGGAGGAACAGGCAGTCCCAGCCTGCTTGCAGCAAGCGCCTCTGGCACGGCCTCGAAGGTCACGACGGGGATACCGTAGGTCAGGCCCAGGAGGGAGCTGACTGCGCCCCCGAGAGAATGGCCCGACAGCCAGATGTTGGAGTCGGGGAACAACTCGGTAACGTTGGAGTACAGTTCCTTGGCCGCGGTGTAGTATCGATGCTCGTCCTTGAGCGCTTGCACGACGCAGGTGTTGTTGCATGAGTAGGTGGATGTGGCGCAGTCGCACACTTGATGCCAGGTCCACTGCCCCTGCTGAGCACAACAGCAGCTGAAGAAAAGGTTGTCATTGACCTTGTCGTTGGTGGTGGTTCCCTCTCCGTCAAAGATGGCCGTAGAAGTTCCCTTGAGGCCAATAACAATAGTCGAGTTGGTCTCGTCTGCCCAAATGTGTCCCCGGAGTCCGTCGCCCTCCCATCCGAAATCAGCGCTCCTGTTGTAGCCGCTGCCGACCTCTTCCCAGTCCGCCTTGCCCTCCTCCTCGATATATGCGTTTGCAGCCATGATGGCAAGGCTGATGACTGTGGCCTTGTCCGTGACGTTGGGTCCGGGGACTTCGTCGGTCGTCCAGTCAGACGGCGACATGATGTTGACATAGCCGCGCTGACGAGCTTCGGTAACCATGGGATCGACGACAGACGGCCGACGATCGACCATGCGCTCGATCTTCAGAGGCGTGCTCTGGGCCTTTAAAGGCATCACCCTTTCCCTCTTGTATCCGTCCTCCTCCGCCAGCCAGACTTGGTTATCGGCGCCGTCGGAGTGGCGGACATCCTTGCGTCGGTGTAGCTGAGGATGCCGATATGTTCCATGGTGGAAAATGTGTCGTAATGTAAAGACGTGTTCGCCCGAATTTGGTTGTACAGTACTGGGTGGAAGCAGCGGTCCTGGTTGAAGGACGGCCTCGTCGTTGTTTGGCACTTCCCCAACGGAAGCTAGAGTCGGTGATACCGCGAGGAACGATAAGAGCAGCTGTGCCGTAACCCTGCCAGCAGAGCTACACTGGCCTCCTCGCCCTAATTTGAGTCTCATGGTTGTCTCGAGACGCAAGAAAAAAGTCGCATTCAGGAATAGTAGTTGACGAAGAATATGGAGCGAAAGTGTCGAGAGTTTGGGTCTCGCGGAAGGCGACGCGTGGAGGTAGATGAGTATAGGAGGATCAATGATGCCGACGTTGAGATGCGCAGACAACGTGCCCCAAGTTATGACAGCATCAGGTGGACGATGCTGGCGCTGTTTACGTTGCCTCCGACTCGCGGAGGGTGCACAGATCAGGCCCGATAACCCACTTCCTGCGCCAAAAGGTCTCCGCCTCCGGATCTGCGTTAAGACTTCGTGTGGACGAGACTGCAACCGGCTTAACAGCTACCCTTGGCGGGTACCCATAGTCTCATGTCTCCCGATAAGGCGCAATCAGGGATACCCGCACCAGCATGTGACCAATGTCCCCTCAGATAGCGCGCATGTCTTCTGTATCCGAAGCTGCCTGGTGCCTGGAACCCACCGTTCCACGCCACTTTGGGGGACCATCGAGGGGCATCTTCAGCGGACCTTCGGCTACTCAACGATCCCGTCGCAACCCGTCCGGGTTGCTGCCATGGATAACATGCCCAACATTGATGACATTCCGAGGCACCATTTATGCTTCGGAATAAGGTACGTTGTGTAAGGTATCAGAATGGGCCTATCACTGATTGGAATCCAGGAATCAAGACCAAGTCCCAAAGTACAGAGTACGGATACAGAGTACCTACGTACAGATGCTATGAGGCCCTGAGGCTAAGACATCCGCTGTCAGTCCTCCTCGTGCACCCCAGCACATGCATGCACTGAAGGTCGGATCCGTCTGCAGATGACACCTGTGGGCTTCCAATAAAACTTGAGCGGGGGCATGACGGGAGCTACCTTGTCAACTTGTCTTCCCTTCCGACCATAGCTGGCATGCTCGGTTGGTTCCCTGCGTTACCTTCCTTTCATGGGAACGGCGTATTCTCAAGCTGCTCAAAGACCAACAATCCTCAAAACCTCATTACTCTCGCCCCGTCCTCGCCCTCTTCTTTGCTTTGCGCTGGCACAAGGCACCCCGTGCACCCATCTACGGCACTGACATCATTTTGTTAGAGATGCGAATAGAAACATAGCTGCCATCTTGGGCCACCTTACGAGCCATTATCCCTGTTCTCCAGCTCCATTTATGGCATAAATCTGTTCCGCGTGCCACAACCAGGGATCTCTTTCCTCTAATATCGGGTTTCAAGATCGCTTCCACTACTTAATGCCGCCTTGACAACATCAGACCAGGTACGTTTGCTTGTCAGTCCCAAGTCAGCGCCTGAAATCCCTTCTTTTTCATCTCCAGCACCTCGGACTGACCAAGAAAATGGCTTCCAGCATCGTCGAAACTATGGCGTCAACCGGCCCCTCCAAATCCCCAGCAGCTCGCCCAAACACGATACGCGCGCCTTCCTTCACTCGCCAGAGCGAAGACAGCGATCCTCTCCGAGTCCCGAAACGAGCTCAAACATTCCAGAATGGCACTGCGGCCGACCCGTTGACGGCGACGACAACGACGCCGGTCGTCGCCAGCAAGGTCCAGCAGAAGCCAGCAGACGAGCCCGAGGGTCCTGATGCTTTCGAGACTGCCGGAAGGCCGTCAACAGATAACGACGATGGGTTCGACGGCAGAGGCTCTGTGGACCTGGGCGAGCTTCCAATTGAGCTAGTTAGTCTGACTGACAGGTATGGCGCACCATCCTCTTTCGGCTTCACATCATGTACTGACCGCGGATAGCTTCGTCGAGACTCTCAGCTCCAAAAGTCACCCCGCGCCTTTGACCATTGACAATGTTTCTGCATTATTCCAGAGTTTCTACGAAACCGCATCTACACACGTCAACACACACATCTCTAGTCTGATCACACGGCATAATCGGGATGCATCGCCTGCGCCGTCCGCGTCATCCAAGGTCTCCACAGCTAGCAGGCTTCGAGCCAAGGCGGCTTCCCTCGGAAGCAAGGATAAACCCAAAAATCTCCCTAAACCAGAGCCGGAGCAGCAGATGATCACCGCCGAAGAACTCGCCAACAAGAAGAAGGCGCGCAAAGCAATTGAAGCCAAGCGTGGCATCATCGAGGAGGCAGTGGAGCGCAGGCTGTGCGAAGGTATTTACGACAAGATCTACCGCCACAAGAGCACCCAGGACGAAGCGCAGGATTCAAAGCTGCGATCAAAGACCGCGGCACTCGCGCTGGTCGGCATTGGACCGGCCGACCTGGGAATCGATCTTGGCGACGATGCGTCTCAGACGCCCGAAACCGCTGCGGAAAAGGTTGAAGAGATCAAGAAATCGCTTGAGCAGGCTAGGAGAGACTTGATTCTCATGAATGAGAAGCGATACCCGCTCGGCAAGGTACACCACTTGAAAGCGGCACACAAGGATATTGTCGAGACTTTGGCGCAATTCCACCCGTCTGCATCCGCAGATGAGATTATGCCTATGCTCATCTTTACTCTCATCACGCTTCCTCCTGAGCATCTCAACGTTATTAGCGACCTGCACTTTATTCAGCACTTTAGATGGGAGCCGAAATTGACGGGCGAGGCTGCATACTGCTTGACGAACCTGGAGGCAGCCATCAGCTTCCTGGAGACGGTCGATCTGTCTACACTGAGGGCCGATGAGTTGCCCCAGGGTCCTGCCAGAGGTATGAGCCAGCCGGGTACTCCGCGGGCTGAGACATTCCCTCCGGCGTTCCCGCCTGGACTGACGGTAACGGCGGATCCTTCGGTGGAGACCGACTCTGGCAATGCCACGCCAACGAGACCGCCTGCTTCGCCTTCCGCATCGGCCGGGCTGCGTGCTGCGGTTCAAGCTCGGAATAGAAGACTGAGCGAGCTCGTCAACACGCCTGCCCAGGCCATTGGTGCAGCAAGTGACGCCGTGCTTAACACGGCCGATCAGCACATAAAGACCATCTCGACGAGTTTGGGCGATAGCTACAAGTTCTTGGTCGGCAAGTTGCGTGAGACACAGGGCACTCCCACCGAATCAGGCCAGGGGCTCGTCGTGCCTAAGACGCTTGATGATGCTCGAAAGTTGATGAGCACCCCGCCCCCCGAGGAGGAAGGGTCTATCAGTGGTGCCAGCTCGGTTCATGGCACCGAGGAGGCCGAATCTACTCGCCGACCGCCGGTCCGCGAGGACAAGGTTCTAAACCTCATCGGTGGACGCAAGGCCAGTCGAGATCACAGCGCAGATAGCTCGCGAAGCGTCAACAGCTCGAGAAAGGTGCTCTTTGCCAAAGAAGGGGAGAAAGATCTGCCTACGCCATCTCCTGGAAACGCAACCAACCCTCTTGACTCAGTGAGGAACTTTGGCAATTCATTCTCCCGGTTCTCCGGTATGAGCATGATCAGAGGCCTGAGCCGGACCGCATCCACGCCCATTGTGGCGAAGGAAGCACCCAAGGACATGACCAAGGATGGCCCGGCTACCAAGGTAGCTGACGGTGGCGACCTTGCAAGCGTACGTACTTTGATCACACAACAATGATATCATATACTGACTTTCGTAGGCCTTCCCGGATATTGCAGCTGCATTGCCGCCCAAGCAGATACCAAAGATCAGCCCGCCGAACAAGCGCTTCATGGAGATGCAGAACCCTGGCGACCTGAAGATTGGTGAGGTCCTCGAATTGCTGCGCGACTATCGGCGGCTGGCAACTACACTCAAGGACATGGGGGCCTTTGAGGGGTCCAAGTGAGGAAACGAGAGAGGAGGTTTAGAAGAAACGTGAAGAGATAAGATACGGCCTAGACAAAGCTTGCTGCACTCATTTGTAGGATTCCTGTGGGATATGGATAAGCATACTGGACAATGGCGTTTTGATTTTTGATATTACTGTTTTCAGCAAACAAAAAGTCTGGCAAGCCATTCTGGGTGAGGATGGCTTTGCCCGAGCTTGAAGTGCCTACCAAGCAGGGAGAGGGATGGCAACGTTGGGACTTGGAGGGTGCTTGAGAGAAGGCCCAACACACACACAAAGAGGTACAAATATACACACAAGCTACACAATGGGAAAGAGATTTTCCACGTGGAACACGTTATTTTGACTACGAACGCGGTGGGATTATATTGGCTGTGTGCCACTGCCAGCAACGACTTTCGTCATCCCAATTCAGTCTAACTAACTCCTTCCTCCGTCGCAATACCAGCAGATTGAGCGATTTATACAGTTGCAATTTTGACGATACCCTCTCGAAGTAGCTGACTAGGCGTGATTGACCATTGCGACTGAAGTAGGTTGGGAGTATAAAAGTACTGGCTGGCGCTGGCACACAGTCGAAATAGTCAGACGACAAAGTGAGTATGGCCGACGGTCTGCTTCTGCAAATGTGAAGTTGGCGAGAGGATGAGGCGAGCGTATCCCACCACAATGCTAGATTACGTTGAAACGCATGTAACATTCTTTTTTATAAGCGGCAGTTCCCAACCCACATGTCTATCCGACCTTGTTTCCCTCATATCCGCCTATGAATAGTTTCAAAGTAGAGCAGAAAGAGTTAAGCGGAATGTCACTTACAAAGGCATCCAAAAAAAATTACAACGAAAAGCATGGTGCTGCTCGGATTAGAGCCGCGAATCAAGCAAGCTGCCTGCCAAGCGCAACAACGCCCCCCGACCCCGGCCTGCGGACGAAATCAAGCGCGAAGTCATGGACGGCTCTAAGAACATGGAGACCGTCGGCGGACACGCATTATATACATACTAAGCCAGCACGCCAAGATAAGATAGACCTCATCATGGCCGTGGTACATCATATATAGACGAGCATGGGACGACGACATCCATGATGCCCATAATGTATTGTCTTTGAAGATTTTGTTTTATTTTCTCTGCTATGCCTTGCCTGCTTGCCTGCCTGCCTGCCTGCCTGCTTGCTTGCTTGATGGGATGCCGTTATATTTAAAAGAGGAATAAAGGAAATTTGCCTGGTTGGGTTGCGTTTTTGAGAGAGAGAAGAGAAGAAGAAGCCTGCCCACCCCGTTCTGCCGTTGAACCCTTCAACCACCTCCCTATCGAACCCGACCATTGCCCGTGGAGGTGTTTCCTCGTGTTTTGGTTGTTTTCCTTTTTTACTGTTTTACTTTCCTGCAACATCCTCCCCCTTTTCCACCTATGGTTCTCTTTTTTGGTTTACTTGAACTTTACTTCTTTTTATATGTACTGCCTCTCGTACCCACTCAGTGGTTCCCATTCATCTTGGACTCCTTGGGCGGCAGCATACTAGCCCGGTTCGTGCGCTCCTGCAAGACGCCGCTGGGCACACCCGAGGCGCCCTCCTTCTCGTCGCTGATGAGCTTGTCCATGAAGGCAATGTAATCATACTGCGGCATGCCCCTATCCTCAGATGTATCGGGCCCGTTGTGCGGCGGGATAATCTCAATGAGCTTGTCAATGACCTCGTCGGGCACGAGGGAGTGGCGGAGGTCCATCTCGGTGACGTAGGGCTTCCCGTCAGCGACCTCGCGGAAGGACTGGAAGACCTGCTCGGCCGTGTTCTGGTCCTCGGTGACGTCGACCATGAAGCGGATAAACTGCTCAAACGTGACGTGGTCGCGGCCGTGCGACGTGTCCATGAAGTAGTCGTGCATCTCGTCCTCGGAGAAGACGAGACCCAAGGAGGCGAGGGCGGCGCTGAACTCGAGCTCCTGGAGCGAGTTGGTGTCGTCGCGGTCAAAGTGGCGGAAGACGGACTCAAACTCCTCGAGTTGGATGGGCGTGAGGTTGGTCATGTTGCGGGCGACCATTTGGTTGTCGAGGAAGGCGAGCTTCTTCTGCACCGACGACTTGACGAGGCTGTGCTCGTAGACGAGCTCGTCGTACGTGTAGATTGTGAAGTCGTTTTCCTCAATGTTGGCCTCCTGGCACTTGGCGTCCACGGCGGCGATGGTATCGAGATACTTGTCCAGCGGCGGCAGGTTGTCGCTGAGCTTGCGGACGTGGTGGAGCTGGTCTTCGACGTCGCCGTCCAGGCCTGAGATTGCCAGCTGCATGGTGTTCAACGCCATGGCGAAGTCGTTGGCCTTGTCGGCGAACGATTTGCGTAATGCGTTTTTGATACTGCCAAAGGGTTAGTACTAGAATAAGTAAGATCGCATACAGGGGACACTCACTCTCTGATGGTCTCGTTGATCAACTGCGCCCTCTTCATCTCCGTTTGTGACAAGCCGGCCCAGTCCTTCTCCATCGTCTCCAGGGACAACTCTGGTGGAGGGTCATACGGCCGCAGTCTGTATGTGCCCAGCTTCGTCTTGATGTTGCCTAGCAGAGTGGCAAGCTCGCTCTTTTCAGCAACCCAGTCTCTCTTCTTCCCTCGCTTGTACGCCGCAAACTCGTTCGCCTGGGCCTTTGCGTCGGCGTATGTGCCTTCAAAGGTGGCCTGCTGCCACTTCTCAATCTGCTCCTTGATCTGCCTCAGTAGCTCCCTCATCCGCCTTTCGTACGCGCTCTGCATGTCCCAAGCGCCGGCCATGTTATTTACAAACTTTTCTACACGACGTCCTGCATTCTCAACCTTTTCCATTTGAGAAAAGGCGTGGAACCAGTAGGCGATGTACGTCATCAGCGACCTCTCATCGGGCTTGGCAACGTCGCACACATCCTCGACATCCAACAACTTGGGAATGCCAATCTCCTTGTGCGCAATGTCGAAGGCCATCTGCATGTTGCCGCGGCGGTCCGACTTGTCCAGTGCGTCGTAGTCGATCAGATCTGGTCTGTGGATATCCAACAGGGCGCAAAAGGCGAGTCCGTCGTTCCAGCTGCCGCTGAAGTCGCGGACGTCCACCTCATCGTAGCATGCCGTCTTTCTTTGACACCACAGCAACAGTCCCTCCTTGGCCGTCATGCCTTCTTCGTTGATGTCGCTAATGGTGAAGCGCAGAATGAGCGTCCATATCAGGCCAAGAATGATCTTTCTGTTTCCGTCCACGACATCCTCAGCACCAATATTGGTCATTTGGATACCGCGGCCCTTGATGAAGTCGAGCGCCGTGTTTGCATTTTCGAATCGTTGTACGCGAAGTTTCGGCTTGGACGCATAGCGTCCGAGGGTATCGTTGGATAGGCATTCTAGCAAGTGGATGAGGAGGACCTGTTGTTGAGCGAAGAATTCTGTAAGCCAAGCGAACCCCGCAAACCAGTGGAAAAATAGGGGTCCAACTTACACCGTCGCTCAAATCAGTCACGAGATCTTTTACTTCGAGCGATCGAGCCTCCAATTTAGTGTTCATCCTATAGTAAAAAGAAACGCAAAAGTCAGTTCATGATCGTTGTAGCACCCAGCAGATAAACTGCCAGGTCGGGGGTGGGGGGTGGGAGTGGTTGTCGATGTTCCGCTTCCCATCCAGCAAAGAGTTTAAGGGGTCCGTCGTACCATTTGGTAAAGGTCTTTTGCTGGACCGTGATCCATTTCTGCTGTTCCGCAAACGCCATCCTCGTCAGGCCTTGATCATGCGGCGGCTCAACGGCGGCAAGGGCGGATGCGGGCGAGGAGCCGGTGGCGGAACGGAATCGGTTCTTCTTGGCTACGCTGCTCTTGCGTGCGAGTGCGAGGTTGCTGCTCCCCGATCTCTGGAGGCGGGCGGCTTGCAGCTCGGTCTTGTCTCGTCTGCTTCTCGGGCTGGGGGAGCAATTGGTGCTGGCTCCGCTGTCTGTACGGACTCGTGAGGCGGTAGACGAGGCGGGGGATGATGTTGTGTTTTCGGACGTTGTCGAGAATGCATACGACAACGGGCGCTCGGCGGTGGTCGGGGTGGTAGGGGTCGTGGATGCGGGTGAAGATGTGGACGCCTGGCTGCCGGCCGAGTGGTGGTCGTGGTGTAAACAAAAGTCGGGGAATTCCTCGTTACACCCTACGTTGCCGGGCAGACTGGCGCCCGACAGTGGGCGCGCCCCCTGAGGACGGTCGGCGGTGGACGTCATTTCGGACAATTCTAGTGGCTCGCTAAGTCGGTTGGCAGCGCTCGTCCGCTGCAGGCGCCGGGATTCGATAGCGAGTTTGGCTTATCGATAACCACTGAACTGCCGAGAATGGTATTCGAGATCGTCGTTAATTTAAATCGAGTTGCTCTTTTGGGATTTGTGAGTCCAAGTCAGATACAACAGGTCCGGTAGATCATGGACTCATACCTAGTTTAGAACTGAAGAAACAAAACAACTGGCGATGCTTCAAACTGGACAGTTGAAAATAAAGAGGGACAATCAATGCATACCTCAGCCAGATAGGGGGAGCCCTTCGTTGTTTAATACCATCCCGTCCACCCACCCACCCACACACGCACCTATATACGCCATCAGACAAAGACCACCTCTTTCTTAACCCTCGCCTCAACTCAAGCAAGGTACCTTGGTTGAACAAAAAAGGACCCAAGACAAGTACAGACGAAAGACGTCGCGCGGCCACTCACACACCCCCAGCCCCAGGGCATATTCAGGAGAGATGCGAGGTCTCCCCCAGGCGCGCCATCGTCTCTGAAACAAGAGCCTGTCTCCCGCCGTCCCCTCTCCACTTCCCACGATCAGGATCGCTCCCCTTTCGTTGATCCCGCCGCTAAATAAATGAACCCTTCGACGAGTCGTTAGTTGGGTCTGTCTGTCCTCCAGGGCTTGTAAGCACCCCAAGCACCACCTTGGGGACCATTGGCCTCGAAAGTCATCGCCCCCGGCCGCAGAGGGGTCCCCGCACACCCAACCCTCGTCCCACTCACTGTCGAAGCCACTCATGCATGCAATCATGCTTGGAGTTGATCGGCAGGGATCCCCAAGGATGCCATTGTGGCCGTGAATACCCAAATAGGGCATGCGAGCAATTGTCCTGTTCCCTCCATCGTCGCGGATAAGTCAGTTTGCAAGAGAAAAGGGGAGGCTCTGTGGTCATATCTTATGCTATTCGCCTGGATACTCAACTAACCATCCTCGGGCCCCATGGGCCCTGTTCTGGTCGTCTGTCTGCCCTTCTTTGGGTTCTTTGGAACATTCTTGCCCCTCAGCCACTCCCGAATGGGAGGGACGGAAGACCGTTGCAAACTGAATTCCTCTGACAAGTTTGCCCAACCCCGCCGCGCGTGTCGCTCCCTATAGTGAACATCACCCGTCAAACCATACTACCCCGAGCCAAGGCCGTCACAGGCTCACGGCCACTCGTGAGTGGATGAGCGTTGAGAGAGTGCATGAATGAGAGCCCGGTAACTCTAACGAGGATCGCGTCAAGAACATTGGACGGAGATGAGCCAGGACGGTGCAAGCCCAGATCTCTTCCAGTATTTCAGTTTCACTACCACGCTCCTGGTACCAAAAGGGACTGAATTTCGACTGAAGTTTAGCCGCCACGCCTGCCTGCCCAATGTCTCGTGGCCTTTGGCCCCTCGCAGACCAGATGCAAGACAGGAGAGTTCCCAAATCTGATCAAGTGGTCCCTTTTGGTGTGTGTGTGTGTGTGCCGACCATGGCTCATATTGCGACACCTTCCCGGCCCTAGCCGAGACAATAGCTCGAGATGAAGAATGATGAGGCCAGGTTTTGTCCCAAGCTTGGGAGGAATTTGTAAACTGGCTGGGAGCTAAGACCAGAGGACATTGCCTTCATGACCTAGCGTGAAGCAATGCCTACTGAGTGAGCGGGTTTCCAAGGAAGGATGATGTGTTCTCTCTGATACTCAGCCTTCATATTGTCTAGTATTGTAGACAAACATCCCGGAGAAGGAAAAATTGCTTCGAAATACGCAGTCATTCTGTGAGGATGAGACATGTAGTCCGTACTCTCGGAACTCGACGTGCAAGAGCAAATGCTGGTGAGCGTCATCTTGCGAGGATTGACCTTGTTCCGCAGTGCTACTGTCTCTCGACAGTTGCTATGGAGACGTTGCCAGATGGCAGCTCAGCCTGTGTATCGCAGCGACACGATCTTGATGAATTGACTAGATTTTGTGATATATGAGCAGGAGTGCCGACCAGCCGTGGGAATCGATGTCAATCTGTTTACAGACATCTTCAATGTTGTCGGCGTCATTGAGATGACATGGAGTAAATTCCTACGTATCCACGGGTCACTTGCTGTGATGACTAAGCACAGCCAGTCTTAGTGAGTGAGATGAGATGAGAGGACATTTAATCTCAACAACTCGTCATCAGATAGTTGTACTTCTGATGCACTTTTGAAAATATATTCAGTTCCTAGTTATCTCGTACCGACATTCTCACAAAAAGAATCATTTGCGGGTTAGTCGAGCGAGGAAAACAAAGTAAGCAAGTTGTGATGGTAAAGTGGTGAGCGTATTCTCGGCCAAAAACGCAAACTTTGCCGACGGTGAAAAATTCAATTTCGCCGAATGACATTATCGGGCCTGCTTCCCCGTGGAGAGACGGGAAGGTGCTGCAGCTACAGGCGGCTCAGCAGCAATCAGGTTGCTAATTCCGCCAAAGCCACTGGCCTTTCAGAGGAATTCCACAGGGGGTTTAAGTAGATTTAAAGCCGAAATCGGGGTTTTATCATCCAATTGTCACTGCTCGGGTTTTTTTTCTAACCTGGAAATCATCAGTTGGCCAGAACTTCTGACGGAAAAAAAAATTACAAGAAAGACCATATTCCGGCTGGTCTCTTGTTCCTCTCCTTTCCTTGCGTCCAAACCCCTCCTCGCACACACAGTCACACAATGGCCTCGAGATCAAGAATCCAGCCGCTGCTCCGGACAGCGGCACGGAGGCAATCCCTCCTGCCCGCCGGTGGGCGGCGCGTTTTGCGGCAATCCACGGCTCCGGCCGGCGCCGCCGTCGCCACCACCGCCCGTTGCATCGCGACGACGGCCGCGAGACTGTCCGACGGCGGCGGCCTCAAGGAGATCAAGCTCACCTCGGCCGCCTACCCGGACATCAAACGCGACACCCGCTTCGCCGCGGTGACGGATGCCCACGTCGCCTACTTCAAGGACCTCCTCGGCCCCTCTGGCATCGTCGACGGCGTGTCCACCGAGGCCGCCGACGACCTGGCCGCCTTTAACGAGGACTGGCTGCGCAAGTACCGCGGCGAGTCGCGCCTCGTCGTCAAGCCCGCCTCGACGGAGGAGGTCAGCAAGATCCTGGCCTACTGCAACGAGCAGAAGCTCGCCGTCGTGCCCCAGGGCGGCAACACGGGTCTCGTCGGCGGCTCCGTGCCCGTCTTTGACGAGATCGTCATCAACATGAGCCGCATGAACAAGATCCACTCGTTCGACGACGTCAGCGGCACCCTCGTCGTCGACGCCGGCGTCATCCTCGAGACCGCGGACAGCTACCTCGCCGAGAGGGGCTACATCTTCCCCCTCGATCTGGGAGCCAAGGGCTCCTGCCACGTCGGCGGCAACGTCGCCACCAACGCCGGAGGGCTACGCCTGCTCCGCTATGGCAGCCTGCACGGCAACGTCCTCGGGCTCGAGGCCGTGCTGCCGGACGGCACCGTCGTCGACGACCTGTGCACGCTGCGCAAGAACAACACGGGCTACGACCTCAAGCAGCTCTTCATCGGCGGCGAGGGCACCATCGGCATCATCACCAAAGTCAGCATCATCTGCCCGCAGCGTTCCAAGGCCGTCAACGTAGCCTTCTTCGGCCTCGAGTCGTACGAAAAGGCCCAGCAGGCATTCAAGGCCGCAAAGGGCCAGCTCGGCGAGATCCTCTCGGCCTTTGAGCTCATGGACGGCCGCAGCCAGGACCTCGTCCATGCCGTGCGCGCGAACAAGCGGCCCCTCGAGGGCGACACCCATCCGTTCTACTGCCTCGTCGAGACGTCCGGGTCCAACGGCGACCACGACTACGAGAAGCTCGAGGGGTTCCTGGAGCATGTCATGTCCAACGACATCGTCTCGGACGGCGTGCTCGCGCAGGACGAGACGCAGCTCAAGGCGCTTTGGGGCTGGCGCGAGGGCATCCCAGAGTGTCTGGGCCACTGGGGCGGCACCTACAAGTACGACGTGTCGATCCCCCTCAAGGACCTCTACCTGCTCGTCGAGGACACGAAAGCCAAGATGGAGGAGGCCGGGCTCGTGGGCGACACGGACGAGTTCCCGGCCATCGGGGTCGTCGGGTACGGCCACATGGGCGACTCGAACCTGCACCTCAACGTCGCCGTGAGGCGGTACGACAAGCGCATCGAAAAGGTCCTCGAGCCGTTCGTGTACGAGTGGATCAAGGCGCGCAACGGCAGCATCAGCGCCGAGCACGGCCTGGGCGTGGCCAAGAAGAATTTCATCGGATACAGCCGCAACGAGACCATGGTTGGCCTCATGAAGCAGATTAAGAATCTCTATGATCCGGTAAGTTGGCTTGCGTTCTGTCCTGCCTGTTGCCTTACGGCTGCCTTCTTCTTCTTCGTCTTCGTCTTTCTCTCTCTCTCTTCCCCCGCTTGCTTTCGTCTTCCCATCTGGTCATCAAAAATCTCACTCTTACTTCCACCCCTGTCTGGTTCCTCTCTCTCTTCTCACACCGACAACAACGTTGCGTCACGTTTCTCTCTTACGTCCCCCATGCAACCCCCCTTCCTCCCCCCCACACCGTGACCGGCCCCCCGGGGAACGGGTTCCTCCATCACACACTACATTATACACACAACAGAATCCCCCATATCACCGGGTTTCTCCCGTCTGCCTGGCGCCTGGAAGGAATGCTGACGTTGAACCAATTAGAACGGCATCATGAACCCCTACAAGTACATCTAAAGGAAGCGCCAAGATTTACGATACCCCCCATCCACATCCATCTCTGGACGGAGTTGTAGGGGAAGAGACAGCGAAGGAGGCAACAGCGGCAGTAAACTCTTTAACATAGCCTAGGATAGCCGGACCTAAGTCCGCCGTCCCCCCGCGTAAGATCGGGTTTGTTGTGTGCGAGTGGGTTGGAAAAGGCACACTTAGGCTATGGTCACCTTTTTTCGGTGTGTGTGAGTGAGTGAGTGTGTGTGTGTGTGTGTGACTGATCTAGGCAATCACACTGCCCACATCATCCCACTCATCTACACCCACACACCTCGTTTTCCCTCGTCTTTGCTCTTCCACCCTCCGTCTCGTTCATACGAGCAACCGAGTTTTCTTGCTTTGTAATATCCAAGGCAAAAAAAAATCGTCTTGTAAATAAAAAAAAAACGTGACGACAAGCTGTAAAACGCCCCCCAACCAGATTTCGTTGTGTAGTAGGGAAAGACATGCTTCCTAATCCGGACATATCTTGAGATCTGTCCTGGTATGTCTCACCTGGCGGGCGGTGCGGAGAA